TTACAAGCAGGATTGCATTCAAATACAAAATGGTCTTTGCTGTTTTAATGATAAATATGTCACAAATCGTTTAAATATGTTTGTGTGAAGTGGGGAGGGGGGGTCCTCCCCTTTTTTGATTAAAGGTATGTAATCTTAAAGTAATGGAAAGTCAGATTACATTACTTTAATATAGTTATCCTTTGGATTAGGTTACAATAACATTTTTAAGAGGTAATCAGTAATCTGTAACAGAATACATACTACCCTCCCAATGTCCCTGTCAATCTATAACTAGTAGCATTAAAAAAGAAAACAGGATCAAAATCAATAGCTAGACAAATAATGGCAATGTGGAAGACCGCATTGTTTCTAGTGCACCTCGGGAATATTGCTATTATGCAGCTTTAACTCTCAATAACAAAAGTATGATGTATTTTTAGATTTATTATATATCTCAGTCATAATTCATTGAAAAACAGGAAAATTCTGTAAGAAGTTCAGATTCTAGACCTTTAGTCGATGGCACAGTGATGTTTGTAAGAGGAAAAGATGTTTTGTTGTGATTTGAATTTGAAGTTATTGTTGAGCGCACAGTCTTGTTTTGTGAACCATCCTACATTTCTGCCACATTTTTGCCATTTTTTGACATCATAACAAAAAAAGTTGGACGTACTGACCTCAGTCTGTTGATACAGATTATAAATGAGCATAAATGTATTCCGAATTAGAATCATGAGTTCTGCAAATATGTCATAACGTAATTACATTTAAATAATACTGCAAAATGAAAGTAAAAACTCTCAGTTCTAAGGGTTCATTCTTGTACGGAAACTGCCCCACAGACTTACAAATGGTAGATGTGTGTGCCGTATGTGTGTGTGTTTCCTCAGAAGGTGAGACATCGCTGAATAAGTGCTGGAGAAGGTCAACAAGCTGTTTCGGGTTACTGTGTGTTCTCCAAGCGGTTACCATCATTGTGCTGTGTATCAAGTACACTGCAGAGAAAGGACATTTGCAATACGCTAGCAATAACCTTATTATGGAGACAGACCAGTTGAAGACCAGTAACAATAATCTGATGACAGTCAATGGCCTTTTACAGAGTGAGAATGAAAGACTTAAAAAAAGGTTCACTGACTTAGGTAAGCTAGTTTTAATTAACTTCTTGACTTTCCATACTGACTGCTGTTTGCTGTGGCAGTTGTAATGTTGACATTGTTCTTCCATCTCTATAGGTTGGAAGTATTTTAACTTCAGTATTTACTACACCTCTGCCGAGACATTAACCTGGACAGAGAGCAGAAAGCGCTGCAGAAAGATAGGCGCTGACCTGGTAGTCATAAACAGCAGGGAGGAACAGGTGAGAGAGAGAGAGAGAGAGAGAAAGAGAGAAAGAGAGAGAGGGAGGACATGACAAACATGTTAAAACTGTATGTTATTTGTAACAGATGTTCATATCAGGATTGTCCAGAGAGGTCTGGATTGGTCTGACCGATGCTGAAACAGAGGGAGTTTGGAAATGGGTGGATGACACACTAGAAACCCTGGGGTAAGGAAGTGGGATCAATAAGTGGTTTCATGTATTTAAAAAATGTTGGTTTTTTAGTATTTAGGACTGAGTAAGGCCATGCTCTAGCCTAGCTTTTCTTATTACGGTTTTAGTTGTCTCAAACCAGCTCATACTGTTTCTGGAGGCAGGCATTTTGGAAAGATTTCGTCTGCTTTTCACTTGAGGAATACCAATGAGACATCCCAGAGAGTTCTAAATGATATATTTTATTGCAGTTTGATTTTAATTAATTAATAATAGATCTTAGTGCAGCTTTTGACTCTACTGACCACACTCAAAAAAAATTTGTACAAACTTAATACAGTTATACCACACATTTCCATTCAGTCAAAAAGAGCCAGTATCCACAGACTTTGTTACCACTACATAAAGATTAGCTGTTGATAGAACAAAATTGAAACACAATTTATTTTGGTTTAATTTAAATGAAATTCTCTTTGGATAAAAATTTCTTGAATTTAAATATATTTTCATTCATTTTTGTCCATTTTACTTAGACCACTTACTTAAAGACAACACAATGTGTGTAATTTAATGTCACGATACTTTCAGTTTGTCAAATGAGGCAAACAACACCTTTGGTTTATTTTTTTGACTGTATGGTATTCTAATTACAAGACTCAGAATCAGTGGGTTGATATTGAGGACTGTCCTTATTTGGTTTATTTCTTATTTAACAAATAGGAGATTTGCAATGTCTACTTGTGACATGATGCCTTCTAATGCAGCTCTTAACTGTGGGGTGCCTCAGGGATCCAATCTGGGCCCAATATTATTTTCTATGTCTATCTTTTTTGTCTTTTTATTTTACTGTATACTATGTTGTGTTGTGAAGCACTTTATGACTTTGGTCTGGAAAGGTGCTATACAAAGAATTACTTACTTACTTACTTCACCTACTACTTCCAGAAGCTTTCCTGAACTTGGGTCAGTGGTTCTTCATCCAGTCTTGAGAAGCCCATTCATTACATCTTTTATGTTTCTGCTGTTTTAACAAACCTAACTGAATTAATCAGGCAACTACAGAGACCTTCTTGAGCTAATCTGCAAGATATGGCTCTGCAGGCATGGGACTAAGAATGAATTTGTGACAATATGTACTGAATGTGGCTTTATGTCTTAAATGTACATTTATTTCCTGTGCTTTTTTAGATATTGGATGCAAGATCAGCCAAACAACTTTAATGGTAACCAAAACTGTGCTTCTGTCCAGACTGAGGTGCATCCTTTAAATTCCTGGAATGACTTCCAGTGCACTTCTGAAAAACACTGGGTATGTGAAAAATAGCTTTCCCAATCTTCCTGGATTTATTGGAAATTATGCACTACAATAAATATACACATCACATATGGACTGTGAAAGAGTTGACCATATGCTGCATGAAGACGTGCATTTGAAGTGCATATCAAATTTAGCTTAGTCAATATATGTTTAATGCTCTGGTTATGTGTGATGGGATGACAAGTCTCAGCACTGGAGACAAAAAATGTTTCACCTAAATGTAATTAATATCTGGATGCATACTGGTTTCTGTTGGATAATCCAGATGAGTGCTATATGGTGGCTAGCACTAAATGAGTGTAAGATAATCAGCTTTGTACATTTACGGTGGACAAAAAAATATTTAGGTATTAGGTAGTTGTATTACATTGTATTGTGATTGTATTACCATTGTCAAATATTTAAGGTGTGTTGGCTGGGTGGTATTTGTCTGCATGTTTCTTTTTTTTGCACAATATGATGATGAATGATGAATTAAAAAATCTGACTAAAGAAAGACTACCTCTTTTGTGTCTTTTCTATCACACTTTAATCTAAAGTGTATTTAAGATAATACAACATTATTGCATTGCATATTGATGATAATATTTCTGTTTAAACTCTTTTGAAGCACTCAATATGTAATTAAAGTGTAGACTTTCCGCTTTAATTCAAGGGGGTTAACAAAAATATTGCATTAACTATTTAGGAATTACAGCCATTTTTATCATAGTCCCTCCATTTTCACAGGCTCAAAAGTAATTGGACAAATTAACAATCTTAAATATAGGGATTATTTTTAATACTTGGATGCAAATCCTTTGCGGGGAAGTCTAGAACTCATGGACATCACTAAATCCTAAATTTCCTCTCCTGAGATATTTTGCCAGGCGTTTACTGCAGCTGCTTTCAGTTGCTGCTTGTTTGTGGGTCTTTCTGCCTTCAGTTTTGTCTTTAGTAAGTGAAAAGCATGCTCTATTGGGTTTAGATCATGTGACTGACTCAGCAATTTAAGAACATTTCATTTCTTTGCCTTAAGAAGATCTTGAGTTGCTTTCGCAGTATGTTTTGTGTCATCATCCATCGGCAGCCATACATGCATGCCCATGCCATAACACTGCCTCCACCATGTTTGGCAGATGATATGCTATGCTTCAGATCATGAGCTCTTCCTTTCCTTCTCTGTACTCTTCACTTTCCATCATTCTGGTACAAGTTATTCTTGGTTTCATCTGTCCAAAGAATCCAAAACTGGGCAGGACACTGGACACTGCCACCGCTACCCCTGTCCACCATTCTTCCACCATTACCTCTAGATCTTGATGTTTTCACTCCATTTGCTGTCTTTTGATTGGATTAAACTAATTAACAGAAATCACAGTTAATACAAATTCAAAATGTATCTTGCATTGTTTATGGTACATGGTAAAACGAAATGTAGTACAAATAAAAAAAAACAATGAAGACTTCTTAAGGAATCTTAAGGAAATAATTAAGATTATCTTAAGAGAATATTTGAGAACTTCTTAAGTTTTTTTTATGAGACTTGCATTTAAAAACATTCTTATGAACCTCTTAGCATTTGTCTTAAGAACTTCCACACCTGACCATGAAACTGCTTATCAGTCTACTGTCCCATTACTTTTGAGCCTGTGAAAATTGAGGGACTATGTTTAAAATGCCTGTCATTCTAAAATGATCAAGGTAGTATTTTTGTTAAAACCCTTGATTTAAAGCCGAAAGTCTATACTTCAGTCACATTTTGATTTCTTCATTCCAAATCCATGGTTGTGGTGTACAGAGGCAAAATTATAAAAATTGTGTCACATACTAATGGACCTGTATGTAAAGATGTACATAGTGAATTTAAAAAAAAGCCAATTAAAAAAAAATTAGTATGTCACTTTCTATTTATGCTCCTACTTTTACTGACTTGCTTTAATTTAAAACAATAACCGTTGCATTTTTCCTTCTTCTTTCATTTTATTTGGACTGACTTCAAACTAAGAGGAAAAAGTGCAGCATTTTTTTTTTTACTTTTTAATAAATTTAAGTGCTCTTCAATGCTCTGAGAAGTGTTTGTGTTTTAGTCGTTGAGAGAAAAAGAGACGCCTTCTGTCGGCAAAAACGATGAATGAATTTGAGCGTTAAGGAATGAATGAATTTCCGCCACCTCGAGACTTTTATTTTGGCGAGTGTTTGACGAGTGCTGCATTTATTGTGTTCTCGCCTTGACGCCGCTTCAAAGATGGCTCTCAGAATCCGACGGGTTCTTAACTGCGTCCCATTAACGTTTTCAGAATTCTGGTGACATTCCAAACCGTTCGGACTTCGGTAACGGATTTAACGGTCATCGCTTGCTGCCCCCGCTGCTCTCCCTCTTTCTGTCTGCACAGTTTCGCTTTGTGACTTATTTCGCAAGCGCTCGCCCCTCGCGCTAGCTAGCAAACTGGCTAGCCTCACATTTGTAAATATTAGCTAGCCTGCTGGCTGGCTGGTCGTTCTTCCCGGGCTAGCCGGCTCCGCGCTCCTGCTAAGATGGCCACCATGGAGAAGCTGATGAAGGCCTTCGAGTCGCTCAAGTCTTTCCAGCAGCAGCAAGGCCCGCTGTCTGCGGAGGAGCTCGTCCAGAAACAGTGAGTATGCGGGCTAGCGTCTGTCTCCGCCAGCCTGTTTGTTTGCTAGCTAGCTAGCTAGCTAACTAGATTAGTAGTTAGCCGTTGACATCTTTAGCTAGCCTCTCTTTACAGCCGAGGGCTGTCAGTGTGTTAACGACGTCACCTGACATGATATCTCTTCTAGCTGCACACAGCCATGTAATGGTCAAGTGTGTCTAATACGAAGTACATTTTAATTCTAAAACCATTGATTACTAGCTACTCGTCTAGAAAGCTTGCTGTGCTGGTCATAATGACTCCCCTTCGTCCGCACTGTAAACGTTAGCTAGCGACTTGCTAATTGTTTTAGTTCAGTCTTTCACAGATCCAGTCTTGTGGCTCTTCCTGCGCTGCACTGGTTTGTGTTTTCCCTCCACCTCAGTTACATCATTAGCTGATGAGACAGTCCCTCTGGAGCTAATTCCCGGTGTGTTAGAGCAGGACAAGATGAAGCAGTGCAGTCGGATTACAGGACTGAAGCTGCTCTGGCTAACGTTGGTTAACTAGTTAACCTAGCTAAGATGAGCTGACGTGCTTCAGTTTTCAGTCGAGGTAGTTAGAGCTTTGGAGTCGTACACTTGGTAGATCGTGTCGTTGAGTTGATTCAGTACTGTTAAAAGTGCAAAATGTGAGGTGAAAAATTGAAACTAAGGTGTAACAGGTGAGGACCATCGTTAGATCAAGGCTGTCATTTGGTTTGGGAAAAGAAAGCTGCAGTACTTTAAATAGATTGGATTAAACTTTGCCATTGTGCAGAGTACAGGTACAGAGCCAATGAAATGCAGTAAGCACCTAACCAGAAGTGCTAAATACAGTATTATTTACAAATTAAGTGCAGAGGAACGGTAGAATGGTAAAAAAATACACATATGCAAGTATAAATATTATATACATATATACAGAGTGAGTGGAGAGTGTACAGATCTAGGTAGTATGTACCGTGAGAGCAGCATATGTAAAACATAAGTATAATTACAGAGTGAAGTTGTACAGTAATTGTTGGTTCAAATATGAATATTGCAGCGATACTAGGACTTAATCCTAATAAATATAATAATCAAAGTGTAATTTTAACAGTCTAATGTGTTGTGTGAAGTATTGCTTAAACAAATTATTGAAGGTTTTATGCAAGCCAGAAAGGGTTTGTGTTGATTATGGTTTTATTTGTACATTGCAGTGAAAGTCAAAGCAACAACAGGCATTGGGCTATATCATTCTTTAGATATTACATATGTGATAAATGAAGCATGCACTGGACAGAATTAGACTACATATGATAAATGTTTTAGTTTACATTAAAACTTAGCATGTAATACAAAGTGCAATTTAGACAAATCATATGGAAGCAGTTTTGTATTAGAATTACGCACAGCTAAGTTTCTGTTTTGCACTTTTTTTTCTGATTACTCAGCTTTGCGCTGAGTAGTTCTTGGTGTGTGAAACTGAACACTGACTAGAACTTATCTGATGTCCTGCAATAATGAGAAATTATATTACATTTGATCTTTTTTCACCTTTTGGCCATTGAATATGGGTGTATTACATTTTGCGCCTTGGTCTTTTCCCCAATATGTTTTTGTTGTTTTTTTATATATGTAAAAAAAGAGAATACATTAGATACAAAATTATGAATAACAAATAGATTCCTAGAGCATTTTTTTCATCTGCTTTGACTTTATTTATTTATTTTTTTTAGATTGCTCATTTGCTAAAGTGTGTCACTAATGCCTTTATTTCTCATTTTAGGAAAAAAGACCTAGCTACAACCAAAAAGGATCGAGTGACTCACTGTTTGACGATATGTGAGAACATCGTAGCACAATCTCTAAGGTATGCAGTAGTTATTGCATTAGCTTCTTAATATCACAATAACAGGTACACTTTAGATTACAAATTATCAGATTTGGTCACGTTTTATGAGTCATCATAAACAAGATTATTGAATTGTTTTTCTTTTTATCTAGAAGCAGTAATCATAAAAGTTGGTTAAAGGAAAAATATAACTGACTTATTCAGGGAGGATTTTTAAGATTCAGAGGAGAATTCTCAAGGAGATGATGATAACACTGTACAGTAGTTACCATGTCAGACATAACTATGCTCTGTGTGGTGACTGATATGTTCTGCTCTATTGATGGTGAAGTGAAATGGCAGCTTGTCAGACATCGACGTCTAATAAATGATGGCAACTTGCAAGATTTAGACGTTTACTTTTAGGGAGTTAGCTAGATTTTTGTGAAGTAGAGCAGTCATTAAAACATAGTAATCCTGTTTTTTCAGCTTGCCTCACTGCATTTTCATTATTACATACAGTTTTGGTTTGGAAAATATAAATAACTAGAACAATCCTTTTTCCTCATACATTCTGTGAACATCATAAAATTTTAAATTATACTGAATCTTTTGGATGTTTCTTTTTTTAAGTAGTTATCAATATTGAATACTAGCAACTGCTACCAATAACATAAATCCAATTTTAAGTTGAAGTTATGTTTTGTGACATTTTTGAGAAAGTAATCAAAAAAGTCCTCAGTACTGTGCACATTCACACATAGCATGTAAACCTTAGCTGTGTTTACCCCTTGTTAGTTGTCTTTTATATTTCTCATCTGTTTATTTTTGTGCGTGTGTAGATAATGAAGGTTTTTGCTGAATGACCGTATGTCTTTTTTTAAATTTTTTTTTACTATGGCTCTGGGATCAGGACTTCTCCAGAGTTCCAGAAACTTCTAGGAATCGCCATGGAAATGTTCCTGCTGTGCAGCGACGACAAGGAGTCCGATGTCAGGATGGTGGCGGACGAGTGCCTGAACAAAATAATTAAAGTGAGTTCTGCCATGCTTATTGCTGTTCCTAACTAATATCTGATGCCTGAGAGCATTGCAAATGGTTATCATTTTGAAAGTGAATGTCTTGCAGTATTTCAGATTAGTGTCTACTGTGATGAAATAGAGCAGAACACTGAAAGTTAATACATTTATTTCTGTATGTTCTGTCTGAATAGGCATTAATGGATTCCAACTTGCCTCGACTGCAGCTTGAGCTGTACAAAGAGATTAAAAAGGTATGTTGGACGTTGTATTGCCTAACGTTTTGGGTAGATTGCATTCCATCCTCATTGTTGATGTACCAATGCCATTTCACTTTTGTTATGTTTGCTGTTGGTATTTTAGTGTCAAAACACATTTTAAGCATGTTCATCAAAAATGTTGACATACAGTGGTCAGGTGTTTGTTGTGTTTATTTAAATAACTAGAGTGTTCTCTCTACATTTTTCTCTGTACACCTTCCACTCTGTCGCTTCTTCAGAATGGTGCCTCTCGGAGCCTGCGGGCAGCCCTGTGGAGGTTTGCTGAGCTCGCTCACCTCGTGCGTCCACAGAAATGCAGGTATATTGCTGGTTCAAGGACAGTGAAGTGGAATTATTTTTCAAGCACAATGATTGAACCCAAATCTATGTAAACAACGTTGTTGTAACATACAGCTCTCTCATTGCATCATCATCTATTTTGGATTAACCCAACTATGTGAACTAACTAGGGCTCAGAACTATTAAAATGATTGTGGTTAATGTAGTTAATCATGATTAGTACATTTGCTCACAGGAAATATTTTTCTGTTTAAAAAGCTGTGCATTTTGTTATAGCAGAAAAAGTGGACAAAATAAACTTAAATCAGAATGTATTTGTTACTTTAAATAATTCAGTAGCATTATTTTCATTGTGCAAAGTTCAATGAAATGAACATGAAAATCATGTGATATCCATAGGGTGAATGCAGTTTCCAATTTTATTACTATATACTATATTATAACAAAATAGGAAAATGAATTGTTTTGTTAATAATTAATTAATTTATTTATTTATTTTACCCTAAAAGTAACTGATCATCACACTGACATGAACTAAGTGTAAGTTGTGGACAGAAGTAGCATCAGGATTTAAATCACAATACTGGAGTTTGTAAGCAGTCACACATTGCACGTAAATCTAAATATAAACCTTAACTGTGTTTAGCTGACCATCTTTCCCCACTTGTCTTAGACCGTACCTGGTAAACCTGTTGCCATGCCTGACGCGGATCACTAAGCGGCAGGAGGAGACAGTGCAGGAGACTTTGGCCTCTTCAATGCCTAAAATCATGGCAGCCCTTGGACACTTTGCCAACGATGGGGAGATCAAGGTACACTGCCAAACTGTTCATTAAATAGGAATGCTTTTTTGAAAAAATGCAGTCTCTTTTCTTCCTGTGTTTACAAGCTGCATTAGAGCTCATCCTTAAAAAATCCTAAAACCTACTAACAGTTCAGGAGATGGGAATTTCATAATGTGTAGTTTGATTAAGTATTACTTCAGTTATTTGTTCATGACTCAGTGCTCTGGTCATTATATGTTCAGTTTGTTGTGTCCAGTGGGTGCAGAAAATGTAGAAAAATAAATATATTGCCAAAAAGTGTTGAACTACCGTTTAAGCATCCATAAAGCAGTTATAACTGACACTAGTCATGTGGCCTTAATGCAGGTATCAGCAGGGGCCTGTAATATTTTTTCCTGTAGCTATTAGTTGTTCTTACACTCGTATGCTAGTCATGAGAGCACAGGAGTGACATCATATTCTAAATGTGGAAGCTGACTCACTCGGATTGCTTCAATTATCCATGATCTCTCTCTCTCACTCTTTGTCTTTTTCTCTCTCTTTCCCTTCTTCTCATCCATTCATGCATGAGATGGAACATTTTTTCTTTAGCTTTATCCTATTTGCTGGCACGTGCACTCTAGGCTTGCAGGGATTGGCTGGTTAAGTGCTTTTAGTAGTAGTGCCCTAAAGAGCAACTGCTCAATATAAACTGAACAGGCTTGTGATGTGGTTATTTGCAAGGATGATTTTATGAATAAAATAGGAGTTTTGGCTATAATGTTTTGTCCTTTTCAACAACAAGTTGTGTTATTGTTGCATGAGGGACCTTGATGTGAAATGAAAAGGCAGTGATGAAAGTTATGCCTAAAGCAGTCTCCGTGTCAAACACTTAAAAGGGGGAAAAAAGCTGTGAAGTTTAGTGCCATCACTTAGAAGATTGTCCTGTGTTTCCCTTAGTCGTGTTATGTACTGTAATCAGAGTCACTTTTTTTGTGAAGGAATCACAACTGTGTGTTTGTTTTTGTAGGTGCTTCTGAAAGCCTTTGTGGCGAATCTGAAGTCCACTTCTCCCACTATTCGGCGCACAGCGGCCAGTTCTGCTGTCAATGTGTGTCAGCACTCGCGCAGAACAAACTACTTCTACACCTGGCTCCTCAACGTGCTGCTAGGTTTGACACATACTGTACATTCACCCGTGCTTACAGTTTTCTCTTATGCATTTCTTATCTTCATGCCACAACCTGCTATGGACGTAATAATGAATATCTTGTTTATATAGAGATGGAATTTAAAGTCTAATGGTGCTTTCACATGTACACCGTTTGCTGTGGACTAGTCAAATTTGGATACGCGTCAAACAAGTAAACCACAGAACGTCAAATATTGCAGGTCTTGATCCGCATCCAAGTTCGCCACGTTAGCATGCTTATCTCTTCTTTTATCAGTGAACATCGAAGTGTATTATTTACACTCTTTAGCTGTTGTAATGAGAAGCCACCTGAAACAAACATAGTCACAAAAACACAAACTTTGTTGCAAATGAACAAACTATATGTGCAAACGCCTTAAAATCTTCAGCTTGAAACTGTTTGTGACTCCAATCACTCTTGACCTGTTGAAATCAAAATACATTGAATACTTTTTCTTATTAGTTCCCTCCCTTCTTCTTTCCTTCTCCCTTTTTCTCGCTCTCCTCACTGCCCCCCCCCTCTTTCTTTCTCTCTCTCTCTCTCTCTCTCTCTCTCTCTCTCTCTCTCTCTCTCTCTCTCTCTCTCTCTCAGGCCTTGTGGTTCCAGTGGATGATGAGCACTCCAGCCACCTGATTCTGGGTGTGTTACTGACATTGCGCTACCTGATGCCCCTTCTGCAGCAGCAGGATGCTAGCACCAGCCTGAAGGGCAGCTTTGGTGTCATGCGTAAGGAGGCAGACATCTCCCCTACACCTGAACAGCTCATACAGGTACAAGGACCCTGCAGGTCCTTCAGCTATACAGTAGAGTGTTGTGATAGGCTTGTGCTGGTGACCTCTTGTTAATGTTGAAGTAGGCCTGTTGACTGTTAATTGAGCAGTAACAGCTGCAGTAAGTAACAGCTGTGAAAAGAACTCATTTACTACCAGTTTATTTATTTTTTTTGTTTTAATTTTGCGTGAATAGAAAGACGTAAGTATTCTCATCTGTAAACATAACTGAGCTGTTGAACATGTTAAGTGAATTAATGTCCTACATTGAAGACCCTGCACTGTATATGTTATATATATATATATATATATATATGTGTGTGTGTGTGTGTGTGTGTGTGTGTGTGTATATATATATATATATATATATATATATATATATATATATATATATATTATATTATATCATATTATATTAATTACCTTCTAATTTTTCCCTCAAAAACGACATTGAAAGGAGTGTTTTGTATTTCCTTTTTTCTGTCGCCTTTCACCATTCTGCTGTGTGTACATAGGCCCCAGTGGGTTGACTGACAGACTCTATGTCAAAGGATGGGTGGGCGCGAGCAGAATTTAACTGCTGCACTGTTTAAGGTGGAGCGGTAAAGCTGACTTCAGCTTCATGTTAACATTATAGTTGGCATGCAAAACCTTCAATTAGCTGGCTTGACTTCTGTAAACAGTACCATTGAGAAGCTGCTGCAAGGCTGCAATTTTCAGGTTCAGGGCCAGATTCTTGTTCAGAATCTCTCTCTTCAGGTTCATACAAAAAAGGCTGCATTGATGTGATTGGATCCTGCGCCATACTGAGGTGTCTACGCCTTAGTTTTCAGATGATTGATAGTTTTGCGTTTCAACTGTATTGTTAACACAAAGCTGTCAACGTCTAATCCACCAGCTTCTTGTTTGTGTTTTCCCATTCCACCTTAAATGGTGCAGCATGCGTTATAATAACTGCTGTGCCATTTAAGGCAGAATATAAAAATTTTGAACAAGAAGCTGGTGAGAAGAAAGCAAACTTAATACTGAATACGAGCTGGCATGTTATCTCACTTTTTGGGGCGTGCAGCTTCCCTACACACAACGGGGAAAAAAAGTTGTTAGGGGTCTTGGTTAACCATAGGTAATGTTACATTAGCCTGCACATTTTGCTACATTCTCATTGCTGGCTGCATTATTGAATAAACTGTCAAATGAAAACAATGACAGTTATTAAAAAATAAAACTTTACTGTCTTATCATCCACATGCCTTCAGTATGTTTTAGGAAAGCTGTTCCTTTCAGCTTGAGATGGCTGGCAAATACAGAGCTGTATTGAGCCCAATTTTCAGATGAGTCAGCAATAAAATGCTTTGGTCTCGTCAACTGGAATAGAATGTAGAGGCTGACAGTTCTCCCTCTTGCATCTAAAGACTGAGCATTTGTAAATGAGTGCAATCTCGTAGTAGCTATAACATTACTCAAGTTGAGTGCAATAGCGTGTGTAAAGTGTGAGAGGTTCATTTGATTTCACAGTTCATGAATATGCATTTAAAGCTAGCTTATGATTCGCTGTAGTTAATTAGTGTTTTCTGTGACGTCTAAGATCACACCAAGTAAAGTGTAATTCCTAAGTGGTGATCAGGGGACAATATACTAAAAAATGAAAAAAATTGAGGTTTTGCACTCTGCAGTGCCCAATAAATGTAGGACTGAGGCAGAAGTATGAAGATAATCCCATACTTCCTGCTACAATAATATTTTAATTAAAGAGGAAAAGTGCAGGGCCTTTAATACCAGATTTATTGTACTTAACATAGATGAGATTGTTCTAGAAATGTGACTGCGCTGGTTAAACATGCTCTGTGCTGCAGACAGATGTCATGCCTGTACAAGCCTCCTCTATGGTTCGTGTACGTTTTAGGACATCCTCACACCGCAGAGTGAGATTTTAGCCTGAAAACCATGAGCAATAACATGTCTCAGCTCCTGTATATCAGACAGAAGGCGTCGTTTCAAACAGCCTACGGCTAAATGATTTAGCAGACTCAAACTCTGACAGTAAAGTTTGTGGGATTTGCAATGCTGCTCTTTCTTACTAGATTAATTACAGTTTCTTGACCTATTTAAACATGACAATATACTACAACCACAACTTTTACTGAACTGCACTTTATGAAGTTACTTTTACTTGACAAAGATTTTGACTCCACTAACATGGCATCACTGCATTTTCTCCCACGTCTGCTTCAGCGTAAGACACTATTGGAACATTACAGAATGGTTCACCTGGTTTAACAGTTTATTACTGGCTCTGTTACCAGCAAAACTCTGTGTTGAAGGGACTGTCTGTACAAGTTTCTCTTTTGCTTAATTACTGTTTTTTTAAGGGTCTAATGTCTTCAGCCTTGAAAATCATGAGAACGAAAGTGTATTTGCTTCCTTGCAGGTGTACGAGCTGACGCTCCACTACACACAGCACCATGATCATAATGTAGTGACTGCTTCTCTAGAGCTTCTTCAGCAGCTGTTCCGTACTCCTTCTCCTGAGCTCCTACACACACTTATAACTCCTGGCAACATCAGACACACTAGTGTCTTCAGAGAGGAGACAGAGAGCCGTGCTCGCAGCGGGAGCATCCTTGAGCTCATTGGTACGTTCTTGTGTCGATTACATGAATCAACTGTGTAACTGATTGTTGGAGTTCATTATTCTTGCCTTTCTTGTCTTTTAGAAAGGGTCTTTTGTTGAGGCTTGTCCTGGTTAGACTACTTTGTTTTGTCTCTCTGTGATGGATCAGATGTAATAACCTACTTTTGAACTGAACTAATTGCATTTGGTCAGTATTGCTAAAGATGTCACCAGAAGGACCCTGAAAGCAGCCGTTAGATGAAAGACACACTTGAGTGCTAAAAGTGATCACTTTTGTCAGTAGTGTTTTGACTTGTTCATTTAACAAGTGGATGGGTTTGCAATCCCTCTTTCATTTATTTCAGATATTAGGAGGTATTATCATCTATTTGCTAGTAGACATTACACACCAGGTAATTACAAAGGTATCTGAGCATTATATTTTTTATTTTTAGCAAACCTACTGAAGTGATCTGCCAAAAAGCCAGAACTGTGTACCGTATAACTGCTTTCTGCGTGAGACTCAATATGTAGCTGTGTAATCTCTGCTGCAGCCTCTAGTACAATTCCACTATGCTGACTAAATGCAATTTTGTAACAAAGAAAACTTTAAAGCTAAGCGCTGTTATGAAAGTTGCATAAATCTCAGTTTTTAACATTCCTAACTGCTTACACTGACTTTACGACTTGCATGTAGAGTTAATAATCAATATTATTTCCAGTTCTACTAAATTACCTCTTGAAAAACTCCTGTAGTTCTGTCAAATAATCACTTGTGCTTTTATTCACCCCCTCCTGCTTTATATCTCTTGCATTAACCTCTTGTCCAAATTGTCTGAACTCCTGGGTTTCTTGGGGCTTTTTCTGCTCTCTTCACTTCCTGTTTCCTGTGTCCAGCTGGTGGGTCGACGTGCAGTCCACTCGTCCTCAGGAAGCAGAAAGGTGACATCCTGACTGACCTTTTAACCATTTTTAAACCTGATCCTTTGACCCCATCTGCTGACTGAAGCTTGAGGCTAAAGGGCTCTGCCTATGACCATCTTAAGAGTTTTGTGCGGAAAAAAAGGGAATTGCATGATTTCCCTGTGTTCAGTCACCGCTAGTGGCCTGACTTCTGCTTTATTATTGCTGTGGCAAAAAAAAAATGTTTCAACCGGTACATTTAATGGAACTATATTGTATAGATATATGTAGATATATTTTATATGGAGAATCATGTCTTCTCTAGTTTGTGAACAAAGTAGTATCAATCACCGAGGGCAGTACAGTAATATTCTTTAGTGGAAGCTTTAGCAAAAACGAATTGAGCATTATGTCCGCAACAATGTTTTCACAGTATTATTTAAAGTCTGTTAGTATGTGGAACAATATGTCAGCTGCATGATGTAACTGTTCCAGGTAAACTGCTGTCAGGTGAAGAGGAAGGTCTAGAGGATGACCCTGAGAGGGCAGAGGTCACCACAGGCTCCTTTTCAGGTGAGCTGAAGAGTTATTCTTATAAAACTTCCTTAAAACATGTCCATATGTGTTGGAAATTCACAAGCATTACATGGATTAAAAGTACTCATATAGTAGATCAGCTGGAGCTCTGTAAGGTACAGCAAAAAAGTTTGTGCAGTTCACTTTTTATATTTTAAAGGTTTTTTTTGGCATATTTGTACCCTAATATTTTTTCCTCTCATTACCACAATGTGCCCACATATGTGCTCCCCATTACCAATATTTATCATATTTTTTTTTCTGCCTTTTTTATCAAGAAAAAATTAGTTTGTATTATTTGTAACTGTCAAATCTCTTTTATTTTTTCCTTGTAAACGTCAAGGATGTGAACCTAAACAACAAATGAAAGTAAAAATATATATATATATTACATTGGGCCACAAAAAAAAGAGACATCCATGCCCTCCTGGTTCCCCAGCTCACATATACAACCAGTTTCGCAATAATAACAGATTTTTTTAAAAAATTGAATTTAGTTGGGTCCCAGTATTTGTCAGGTTTGTGAGAATAACTCTTAAATTTAGGGTAAGAATTAAATAAATGGTCACTAATAAACATACGCTATACATTTATTCGCTCAATAGCCACTCAGTAGTCATCTGTTTGGAAAGCACGATGTGAATGTAGTGATATGCTTTGTTATATCTTAGCCTCAGTGGGCAGTGAAAGCACCAGCGATGCTCCTTCCTCCTCTGGTGTGTCCTCCCTTGGTCCGGCCGACATCATCACAGAGCAGCCACGATCTTCCCAGCACGCTCTGCAGCCGGGTGATTCGGTGGACCTGAGTGCTTCGTCGGAGCAGGGAGGTGGGCCTGACACACCAGATGAAGAAGACGAGGAGGACATGTTGAGCCGCAGCTCGAGTGGTGTCACTGGGGCCATTGGCACCGCTGCTGACCTTCTCGCCGAGACCAATCAGGCTTCAACAGGCCCGACATCGTCCTCGCCACCCAGCGATAGCTCCCAGACCACCACGGAGGGGCCGGACTCCGCCGTGACTCCTTCGGACTGCGCTGAGCTCGTAAGTGTCCCCGGCGCTAGTAGACGGTTCCGGAGCCATTCACCGCCATCCCCGACTCCCACTGAGGGGCCAGACACTTCCTCCCACTCCGACAGCGAGATCTCTTCATCCTACAGGCCCTCCTCTTCCTACTCCTCTTCCATATCTTCTTCCACCTGTTCTGCCGTCTCCTTCGCTAGCAGTAGTGACAAGGTCAGCAGGTGGCAGGGTGGTAGGGCCTATCTTAAATCTACCCTGCTCTCCCATCTGAGCCTGCCCTCTTTTTATCAGCCTCCCTCCCACATGCACGCCCCTGTTCTGACCTTCTTGATCTTTAATGTCAGTGAGATTCATTTGAAGAATGATATCGTCTGCCCCGCATTATCTACTTTTGGCCTTTCATCTCTCTTGACCCCTTCCCTAGAAAAACTGGCTCCCGGTTCATTCAGAAGTGGCCTTCAGTGGCCTTTAGAAGCATGGTGATGACCACTCCTGTTTTGGGGATTTCAGATCTAGTACCTTAAAAAGCATGTATGAGTGGTCTTTGAGCTTCATCTGTCTACCAGTTTCTGATTCGGGACTGGTTACAGAGCCTTTTCCCTGTGTCCCAACAAAACAAAAAATAGGGCCGGGCAATTTGACTATCGTAATTAATTCCCCCTCTTGTCACACACAGTATGGTTTCCTGAGTAATTTGTGGCTATCGGCAGTACTTCAGAAACACTGACACTGTGTTTCATTACAAAGAGAGCATGATTAGTCCATTTTAATTGGATATAGTGATGTGCAGTATGTGAAATATAGAATAAAAAGTAACTGTGTTCATAGTTTTTAAAAATACTTTTAGTTGTGACACTACTTGGTCTGTAACAACTTAGCAATCCTCAGGAAAACTATATATTGTGATCCATATTGTTTATCGAGTAAATGTCATATTGCCCACCCCTAAGTAAAACTGATATTAATACAGGTGTTATGGGTTGACTTTGAGAAGTATACCATTCTCAGCTGAATATTTATATTGCATCCATTGGTGCTTTTGTGCTTCCATGTGTTATGATAACTGGAGCAAATCTCAACCCTGTTTATGTGCTAATGCATGCCCATCTTTTTGTGTGTTTTTCCTGTTTGCATGTGTTTATGGCTGTGTGCATCTGATTCCTGGTATGTCTTTGGTTCTTTGTTTTTATGCTCTTTTTTGGTTGTGTGTGATGTTTAGGTGTTGGATGGCAGTGAGAGTCAGTACTCAGGGATGCAGATAGGCACTCTGCAGGACGAGGAAGAGGAGGGAGTGGCTGCAGCCCCTGGTGAAGCTCTGGAGCCTTTCTCTGGGTCTGTGCTGGGTATGTATCACATTTAGCCAAAACTCAGACTTCTTGCTTTGGTGTATTAATAGGATGCATCAAGACTTCAAGCCTTCTTTATCCGTATACATATTCTGTCAAGGGCTGGTTAGAATAGAATGAGTACTCATTTGTTATATTGGTATTCATCCCTCTATTTATCTTTCATCATTAAAGGTCTTATATAAATAATAATAAAATAGATATTGTTATTTTATATCGAAAATGTTAAATAAATTATAGCTGGTTTACTTGATTGCATGCCAGGCATCAGTATATCTCCACATGGCCAATAAAAAAAAAAAAGCTGCCTGAGAGATCACATGTTGAAGACTTCAAATAATTGGGGTTTAAGAAAAAACTGGGCCCCATCACATAACCACTTCAGGCAGAAAAAAAATCAGCTCTTTTTTTCCTCCTTTTCTCTTCTTTTATATTCTGATTTCTCATTTTACAGTTTTTTAGGGGGTTTAAAAGCATGTCAGTTCCATTAGAACACTGTTGCTGCCTAATGGATCTATTTTGAACTCCAGAAACACATCTGACATAATTAATTGGGTTAATTATGGCTTTTATATATTATTGTTTCAATATTGTTGGTGTTGAGAATGAATATTTTGGGTACTCATTTGGTAATACCAATGAGCAATCAATGCGTGTAAAATGCTGTTTCTCTTTTGAGCTTAGGTTAACATCAAGGAAAATTGTGTTTAATACTGGAAATAATGTTGTAACCTTTATCCAAAGTACTGCCACTATATTATATAGTTTTTGTTCTGCAAATTTTGATGATTCTCTTTGAAGAGCATCTGATGATTTTGTTACACAATACCAGCTTTTGGTGGTTGGCAAACTGTGTACACTATCTTCCCTTTTATGTCTTTTCTGATACGTGTGTGATGGAGGTTTAATCTTGTTTGTGTGTCAGCACTGAGTAAACCTCACCTGCTGGAGGGTAAAGGTCACAACAGGCAAGCTTCTGACAGCAGTGTGGATCGCTTTATACCAAAGGATGAGGTTCTGGAGCCTGCAGACCTCGATAATAAGGTGAGCACACACACAAAGACATGTGTATGTTTATGCGTATATAAGTTGCACACATGTTAAAAAAAAACACATGTGCAATGTTCAGTGTGTTTCACATCATAAGTAATATAAATTAATGCTATCTGCTAGCTGTAATTAGTAGTTAAAAAAGGCAGAATGTTCTTTTTAATATTTTAATGATATAGATTGTTGTCACTTGCTGCTCCTGTCTTTTTCTGTCGATGCACTGGCTGTAAAAATGTGAATCTAGTTTAAACTTTCAGGGTTCATACAGTCATGACATGTTCTTGAGTGCTTGTAATGTTTTAATATTTAAATAATTGCAGGATGTTTTTTTCTCTAGAACAGCTAAATTGTCTGTATGTTAACTCAGTGTTAGCTGATTGATTAAATTTAATATCATGACATTTTAATACATCACAGTAACATCATGTATTATTATTATTAAAATGATTGAACCCATCTTCCTGATGCAGATATGCTTTATGCTAAGAGTGCCTTACTTGACTGCTTATTTCGATTGAACTGTTTTGTTTAAAACAGTTTGTGGTAAGACTTGTAAAATAGTACCAAAGGGAACCTTACACAGTGTATTGTAAGCATTAACCAGACAGAAAGCACATATCCAGTAAAGAAGCATGTTTTCATTTATTATTTTTAATTTTTATGGATTTTAAACAAAGGACTTAGTTACCTGTGCCCAAATTATTGAACTTTGGATTCGTCTGTCCAAAGAACATTGTTCTAGATGTCCTGGACTTTGTCAAACGTCTTGCTCTGATGTTGTTGTTGTTGTTGTTGGTGGTGGTGGTGTGGTGGTGGTGGTGTTTTTTTTGACAGCAATAAACACCTCCCATGAAAATCAAACTCGTGCAGTCTCTTTCTAACGGTAATTTGATGTCAGCTGTGGCAAGAGCTACCTGTAGGTCCCTTGATGACATTTTAGGGTTGTTAGAGACTTCATTACGCATCTTGCCATCTGGTCTTGGGCTGAACTTGCTAGGAAGGCCTGACCTGGTCATGTTGCCATTTGTTTTAAATGTTCTCCACTTTGTTTTAATTTTATCACTTGACTGTATATTGACCAGCATTATGCTACATGCTTTGCATGGAAATTCTCATTTCATTCTACGTCATGGAAAAGTAATGTTAAATACCTCTGTCTAAAAGTGTGCAAACCATGAACTGTAGTACAGCATTTTTGTGATCAAATGAAAGCACTTCCCTTTGCTCCCTTCTCATACTTGAAACTTCAGGGTTTAAAAGGGTTTAAAACTACAGCATTAAAAGCCACTAATGCTTAGAATTTGTGATGTTTCATTGTTGTGTTGTAGCCGTCTAGGATTAAAGGAGAGATTGGCTATTATACAGACCCAGCGGAGGCGCCTCTGATCCACTGTGTTCGGCTGCTGTCTGCCTCCTTCCTGCTCACCGGCCACAGAAATGGTGATGGGAGTTATCTTTTCTTCATCCTTACAGACGTATTTAAATAGCAACATCTGTTCTCTAGTCTGATTATTTAGGAGAAATATGTGGAAGACCTCTAGAGCTGGCTGATCACTTTCTTGTTTGTTTGGCAAATGTAACCACGCTTGTGGTATTTTAACTGCTGTGTGCTTGTGCTTTCCAGGGCTGGTTCCTGATAAGGAGGTCCGTGTGAGCGTGAAGGCCTTAGCTGTTAGTTGTGTTGGTGCAGCAGCAGCTCTTCTTCCAGAGGCTTTTTTTAACAAACTCTACCTGGAGCCCCTGGACGGACAGCAACCAGATGGTAAAATGTTGCCATAATGGCACATTTATAAAAGTGTATTTTGCCTATCCAAAGAGATTTACTCCAACAATGGCATGTTTAGTTTTTTGTTTTTCTGCATCCCTTGGCTTACCGTTGGATGTTGTTAAGGAATTTCATCTTAACAAGCTAAGATATCTTGCCCTCTCATTATAACCAAACTATAATATGTGCTGTGGTGTTTGTTTAAACAGAGCAGCAGTACATCAGTGACATCTTGCACTACATTGAGCATGGGGACCCTCAGATCAGAGGAGCTACAGCCATATTGTGCGGAGCTTTGATCCAGGCCGTCTTGCTCAAGACTCGCTTCACCACAGAGCCGTGGCTCTCCCGCCTCCACAGCACCACCGGTAAGGCTTGTAGAAAGACCATATGCCAAGTTTCAGGATTAGGAGTTTTTTATGCTTGAGGGAAGCAGGCAAGGGAAAAAATAAGCATAATTAGCTGCTAACAGTGTGCAGCTGTATAGCTTTGCACTGAGCAACAAAAATATCTTTGCAAAAAATAAACGCTACATTAGGAGTGGTTTGACAAAGATAGAAATGACAGTGAATGGACATTTTTGGTATTAGACGTGTGACAGTGCAGTGTTCTTGCTTCATTGCAGTTTGGTTCATTCTGTAGTCTTGACTAACTGATTATAAGGTTTAGCAAATGTTTTATTCTGTACCTTCAGACAGTCAATCATAACTGCCTCTCTCTGTCTGTCTGTCTCTCTCTCTCTCTCTCTCTCTCTCTTTTTCTTTCTCTCTGTCTGTCTGTTTGTCTGTCTTTCTTACACTCTGTCTCTCTCTCTCTCTCTCTGTCTCTCTCTCTCTCTCTCTCTCTCTCTCTCTCCCCCCCCCCTTTCTTCTTTATTTCAGGAAACCCTGTGTCTCTGGAGGACTTTGTGCCCTTGCTGCAGCGCAGTCTAAAGGATGAGTCCTCAGTGACATGCAAAATGGCCTGCTCAGCTGTGAGGGTAAGAGTACACAAACACTATTGCAAGTTACAAGACTGCTTACACACAAGCAGACAGTCAATCTATTCATGTTATAAGCCTGACAAAAGATGATGTGCGCCTGTGACTAATATGTGTGTTTCTTGTTTCAGCACTGTATCATGGCTTTGTGCAGCAGTAGTTTTAGTGAACTGGGTCTGCAGCTTCTTATCAACCTCTTGGCCCTGAGAGATTGCTCCTACTGGCTGGTCCGTACTGAGCTGCTGGAAACTCTGGCTGAGGTGGACTTTCGGTAAGATGAGTCTAAGCCCAGGAGCATACTCAAAGCAAGTACACAAATGCAAAAGACAACGCCTCCGCCAGTGCATTGCAACACTTGGTCCTTCTGTACAAACTCAAAGTGCATTCTTATGTTACCTTGATGGCAGAAACACTCAGTACTGAAGGGGGCAATATTGGACAAATCAAAATGGGATCTACTATCATTCCAGCATCCGCATCACCGAGACATGAACAGTAGAAGTTTATGAGCTGCTTTACTTGTTCTATCAGAATGAGGATTTAATATATATTAAATTGATGTTCATGCCAGCAAATTCATTTTTGTGAGACCTCCTCATCTAGAGTGACAGTTGAGTGGGAGCATGCTGCTGGTGCAAGACAGCTTGGACAGGCTTGACTGTTGTTACAGCTCCCCTGGCTGTAACACTTACACTTGCATTCCGTTTTGAATTGCACTGTGACATGTTTTAGAATGGCCAAACCTTGTTGTGTAGCTTGAAGCATCTGGGTCATATATTTCTGGCCTAAGGCTAACTTTTGTTCATTGTTACATTAGGCTTTTAAAAGCCAGAGGTTTTTTTTGGAAGAAGTTTCATGACGTTAAAAGTTTGAGGACCAAAAATGTCTGTAAAAACAAACAAATGTCATGACTGGATATTTGTGTGACAGGTTAGTGTGTTTCCTGGAGAGGAAAACGGAGAAGTTGCACAGAGGAGAACATCACTATACGGGGGTAAGAGCACTCTATGTTCAAAACGTCCATTTTAAAGGGGTTTTACAGCATATGAACTGGGCTGGTACATTTCTGTGGGATCTTGAGTGATCAGTTTAATGTTTATCCAGGCCATTGTCAATTGTTTGATTTATTTGGATATTTGGATGACATGATTTTGTAATTAATCACCTGTAACACTGTTATAAATATATAATAGATTACAAATCATTGTTGAACACTGTTAGGCGTGACGTGTTACTGCATTATTTTTCTGTCTTTCTCAGTTGTTGCGGCTGCAGGAAAGAGTGATAAATGATGTAGTGCTTTACCTGCTGGGAGATGATGATCCAAGAGTACGGCATGTTGCTGCTTCTACCGTTAGCAGGTATACTGCGAAACACTTGAAGGTCACGCTGACTTAGATTATTAGTGGAGATATGTGTGCTGTCTCTATGTGTAAAGTATGTTATTTTTAATATATGCTCTGCTACATGTGATTTTGGACATGTAACCTACCAGGTTGGTGTCCAGGTTGTTCTATGACTGTGACCAGGCCCAGGCAGATCCGGTAGTGGCTATTGCTCGTGACCAGAGCAGTGTGTACTTGCAGCTTCTGATGCATGAGACTCAGCCTCCCTCCCAGTTTACTGTCAGCACAATCACACGGTAAGAAACAGAGAACAAGACAAAAGCACTTGTAATCATATTATAACAAGCTACTGTATATGCTATTGTTCAAAAGTTTGGAAATTAATTGTCATATTAATAATTACCATTATTTTATTAAATGATAGCTTATGTAGATTGTCTGTAAATGTTAAATGATATACTGTGATCTGTTCATAGTAATTTCTTATTGAGGTGTCTGCCTCGAGATTTGATCGCCTCTTTTCAAATGGGAGATTATTTTATAATTATAACTTTATTCTCAGTCATTCTTCACCATTTGGGACACATTTAACATTCCGTTTTTTATAAAGTTTGAACAAATTCCTACAAACTAGTTAAAACCTGTAATGTAGAAAATTAGCATCATACTAGCATCATTATTACATATTTTATATTTGTGGAAAACAGTGATTCCAGACGTTTGAGTGATAATTCCAAACTCTGATGTCTTATACTTAACATCTTTGAATCGCCCAGCTCTATGTAAATTTTTAATTTGTGTGCTTCGTAACAGGACATATCGAGGCTACAGCCTATCACCAGGTGTGTCAGATATCACAGTGGAAAACAACTTGTCTAGAGTGATCACTACCATCTCTCACGCCCTCACCTCCTCCACCTCCAGAGCTCTGACTGTGAGTTTTGCGCTGCTGAGCTTTAGTCTGTAGCCTGTATACTCTACTACCTGTAAAATTCTAAATTTTGATCAAATATACTTCAAAAGCAACAAAACATCTGAAACTGGCAAATAATTGCATAGCAATTTCCTTTACATCCATGAGGACTTTGATATAGTGCGTAACAGAACAAACTAGATGTTGATGTGATGACTGAAACTGACATTTGGGACACACTTGACCAAAACCCATAACAAAAACGTACGTTTTTTTTTTTAATTAATGTATTTATTTTATTAGTCTAATTTGCTGTTTTATTCATGCTTTTAAATAAAAGTATTTAACAAAGAAGAAACTACAAGGTAATGAAGAAAATGTGCTTATTATTTATCTGCTTTTAATACAACAAATCTGAGGTGAAAATTTACGTTTCATTGTAGATCTGTATAATCTTCTGTTTTATTAACCAACATTTTTTGGCCTTTTTCTCTTTATGGCCAGAATATTTGTCCCAAATTAAATTTTTTGGTGGCTTAACTGCAGTGCATCTCGAAACAAAACTGAACAAAAAGTTTTTTTGTCATTATCAAGTTATAGACCCCACAATTCAAGATACAGATTAACAAGGAGTTCACTTCCAACCCTAATTGAATACATTTGATCCAGATCATCAGTTCATTTAATTAGAGCTGAATTTTTTAAAGAAGGTACACCTTCGGGAACAGTGTTGGTGACCATGGCACTAAACCATAAGTAGGCCCTTTTGTAGTTTTGAATTTACATCTTATGGACTATGCAAGACCTTGTAGTATTTTTACTTGTCATATTATGATTTGTTTGCTCCAGTTTGGCTGCTGTGAGGCCCTCTGTCTGCTCTCCTCTACTTTCCCGGTGTCCACATGGAGCACAGGATGGCACTGTGGCTTTGTCAGCTCACCTGTGTTCCACTCCACCCGCTCCAGCCAGTACCGTGCCCGCGGACGCTCCTTCAGGTGAGTACACGTTCAAACACAATCTGTCAGTGTTAGTGTATCATTTTGTTTTTAATTGACACAGCACATCAGAACTGCATTTCATCCAGTATTTTGAGTGTTTGTTTTTAATCTTGTTTTTATTTATGTTTTTATGATTTTCTTGGTTTGCTTAGATAACAGTCATTCATATGACACATAGCAACTTGTTCCAGGATTGCAGACAAAATACCTGTAGTGTAATCTTGTATTTCTGTCTTCTCTCTATAGTCTTTCTCAGTCTCAGTCTGGCAGCAGCGAGGAGAATCGCAGGACTCTGACTGTGGGCGTTGCCAGCATGGTACTATCGCTGCTCTCTTCTGCCTGGTTCCCGCTGGACCTCTCTGCCCATCAGGACGCCTTGCTGCTGGCCGGAAACTTAATTGCTGGTGCGAACTTGCACATGCACTTAGCACCATTTAACAGTTATTTCCTTTTTTGCATAGTGCTGAGCTTCTTGACGAAGTTGTATGTCTTGTTGCTGTCATTCAATGTGTTTTAGTTTTTTGTTAGTGTTTGGTCACATTTTTACTTCTTTATAACTGTGGTTTTTCCCATGTCCTAACCTATCTGTCCAATCTGAACCTCAAGCTGCTGCTCCAAAGTGCATGAAGAGTCCATGGTCTGGTGAAGAGGAGTCCAGTTCTACCCCCTCCAAACAAGAAGAGGCGTGGCCTGCCCTTAGTGACCGCTCCCTGGTTGCTATGGTGGAGCAGCTGTTCTCCCACCTTCTGAAGATCCTCAACATCTGTGCACATGTGCTGGACGACACATCCCCAGGCCCTGCTGTCAAGGTAACAGGCTCGTGGAAAAAAAAGATGGTTTGGAAATTTCTAACGGCACTGTTCAAAACAATACTGCAGTAGTGTTGCAGTATGGTAGTACTCTACATTTTTGCAAAAGCCACTGTGATATTTGAAACAAAAAAAAATCAACATTGTGCTCTTAGGTACAGTGCTGTTTGAAAGTTTGTGAATTTAATTTAAAATTGAATGTCTTTGTTGGCAAAAGCATGTGAACTTCTGCTTTCATTAACTGGTGTGACCCCCTTGAGCAGCAATGACTTCAACCAATGACTTCCTATAACTGTTGATCAGCCGTTTATGTTGACTTGGTGGAATTTTGGCCCATTCCTCCTTACAGAAGTCTTTCAACTGGTATTTCTTGCATGAACGCCACACCTTAGGTTCTGCCTCAGTATTTGTATTGGATTAAATCCTGGACTTTGACTAAGCCATTCCAGAATTCAACATTTCTTCTGCTTTAACCATTTTTTCTAGACTAACTGCTGTTTTTGAGGTTGTGGTCCTTCTGCAGAACCCACCTTCTGTTGAGGTTCAGTTTATGGATGGGTGCCCTAACATTCTCTTGTAGAATATCTTGGTACAATCCAGAATTCATAGCTTCACCAGATGATGGTAAGCTGTCCCGGAGCAATAGCAGCAAAACAGACCGAAATCGTGATACTGCCACCACTGTGTTTCACAGTTGGGTTAAAGTTCTTAGGCTGAAATGCAAGTTATAAATATTTATTTTTGCCTTATCCATCCACATAACATTATTTTAGTAGTCTACTGACTCATCCAGGTGGTCTTTAGGAAGCTTTAAACAGGCAGCAGTGTTCTTCCTGGAGAGTAGTGGATTTCTCCATGCTGTCATTCCAAACATATTGTCCTTATTCAGTGTTTGCCTGATGATAGATTCATGAACACTGAATTGGCCAGTGTAAGAGATACCTGCAGATCCTTAGGTGTTTATCGATGAAGTCCAAGCTCATTAGAAATAGCTTTGGAACCTCTTCCAGCCGAATGAGCGTTGGCAGATATTTTTGGTATGTGGACTTCGATGGTGAAAACGGTGATGGTGTTAGCCACACTTGTACCTGATTGTTGTCCAATTGATTGAACCTCCTGACCCAAATGATCACCTATACCAAACTGATAATTCTAAAGATTCACATACTTTTGCCAACAAAGACATTTAATAGTGCATCACTTTGTTAAAAAAAATGGTTTGAAACCAATATTATTGTGTTATTTGTTTTACTGGGTTCTCTTTAAATGAAGATCTCACCATATTTTAAGTCACAATTATGTAGAAATTCACAAAATGATAGAGTTCACAAACATTCAAAGTACTTTCAAGCAGTTAAACCGGTACATCTTTTTTTCCAGGCTACTTTGCCCTCTTTGGCCAACACTCCATCACTGAGCCCAATAAGGCGGAAGGGCAAAGAAAAAGAAATTTCTGAGCCCAGCACAACCCCCATGAGCCCAAAGAAAGGAGGAGAGACCAATGCAGGTAAATCTGAGGCTGCGAAGATCCATTTCACACTTGTAAACAAACATTTGCGTCAGCCTGGTTGCATCATGTTTGCCAACCTCAGGTGTGGTTTAGTGGTTCAGTCAATCAGCTGTCAGAAATAGCAGAAATAGAACATGGAATGGCACCAGGGAATTTCATAAACTGACCCCCTTTTTTGCACTTTGAAATGTTCACTTGGAAGTGTTTCTCAAAGCATTCAAACTACCCAGGCTTTACAGTTTAACTTCACCTAGAGAGAGAGAGAGAAAGAAAGAGAGCTTAGCAGTGGCAGGCCAAATTGTGAACAGCACATTGATGTAAGATGTTGTACTTGTCAGAGACCTTTTCTTATTAATCATGAACTCAAGAACTGCAAATTACAGTCCAATTTGTTTCTTTCATAAAGTTTTTTTTTTTCTAGAGTATATGTTTTAATTCTCAAGTCTTGTCTTCTACGTTCAAAACCGCTGAGTTAGACCAGCAGTTCTTGCAGTTATTGTCTTGAAACAAATAATTACAAACACATTAGTAAAATCTTGAATCTTGGTGTACTTTTGGGTTCTAAACTTTACATCCTCCTTTTTAAAACAGGCAGACCAGCAGAAAGCACAGGAACAGTTCCAGTGAGCAAATCCACCTCAGTGGGCAGCTTCTACCATCTGCCCCCTTACTTGAAGCTGTATGATGTGCTGAAAGCCACTCATGCCAACTATAAAGTTAGTGTGCTTTAATTAAAGATTTTAGATTTTCTTTTAGACGTTATTTCTCTGGAGTTGTTCTTATTCCTCCTCAGTTACTCTCTAAAGAGAACATATCAAGTGTCTTTTGTTTTTTGTTGTTATTTTGTTTTGATTTTTGCTCTTGTTGTGGAAGCATGCATGTTACTATTTTTGAGAAGGCGCATACTTTATCATTTTTGCCACGGTGAAGTAACAGATTAGTGTCTTAGATCTGAGTGTTATTATTTATCTTGATCTGGATATTTTCTCATCTCTTACTTTGTGGGTGTTTCCAGGTAACACTGGACCTCCACAGTACAAATGAGAAATTTGGCAGCTTCTTGCGTTCAGCCCTTGATGTTTTGTCCCAGTTGTTGGAGCTGGCCACCCTGCACGACATTGGCAAGGTATGCATGCATTTACTGAGAGAAATTAAAATATCACATTTATATAATTATTTTGTTTAATGCTCAAAAATGAATTAAAAAGAGAGATTCTCCTTTTGTCTTTATTTCTTAGTGTGTGGAGGAAATCTTGGGTTATCTAAAATCCTGCTTCGCACGGGAACCTACCCTGTCCACCGTGTGTGTCCAACAGGTGTGTCACTTACTCACGCCAGTGTTTCCTGCAGATGTGACATATACTTTGATGCTGAGGCGTAACAGTTTACATAAGTAACATATTTATTTATGTGTTCAAATGCACCATTACAGACATGGGTATGTCCACAGCTATTACAAATGCACAGTTCTTCATGTGCAAGGCTATGTAGGTATGTCAGTTACTTAGAAATAATAACAGTCAACAAACTGCAGTGTGGGTGTGTATGAAAAAATCAGATGGTCTGTTCTGCTAATTATGCATTTCATATGTTGCCTTTTGGTATATAGCTCTGTTTTTTACCAGCCATCTTTTTTAGTGATTTTAAAGTATGATGATTTACATACATTTTTGAGCCTTTTGGCCATACTAGGTTGCGCTACAGCATGAAAACCACAGTGTTTATGCGCTCTGGCAGGGGAAAAGTGGTGAATTTAAGTGTTAAATGACTTACAGGAGTCTCCCAGCAACGAATACAGTTGACAAAACTATGAACACAGGCAAAGGGGTTAAGCACATGTCAAAAACAAAGATGCAAGATGTTGCTTGATTAACATCTGCTGAAATTACAAAATTACTCTTCCCTAATATATAGCCATTTTTTGGACTCTCTTTGAATTAGATTTAAGTTAGTCCAGTGAATATGAAGCGCTGCTCTGTCACTGAATTTGCACACATCAGGGTACCTGAGCTATGAGTCTCTCTTTGTCCGCTTCACCCTTTTCTTGGATTATTTCATTTGAAACTAGCCCTACAAAAGGAAAATGATGAGGGCATTCTTTATTGAATATTATTCTTGCGTTCCCCCCAGCTGCTGAAGACCCTCTTTGGGACAAACCTGGCTTCCCAGTATGATGGGGCCTCCTCCCACCCATGCCGATCTCAGGGAAAGGCCCTACGCCTGGGCTCATCCAGCTTGAGACCAGGCCTCTACCACTACTGCTTCATGGCACCGTACACACACTTTACACAGGCTCTCGCAGATGCCAGTTTAAGGAACATGGTGCAAGCTGAACAAGAGCAAGATGCGTCAGGGTGAGTAAAAGCACAAATACGTAGACTCACAAACTCTTTCTCACGCCTTTGTATGACTGGATGTTTTCCCTTTCTTCCCACAGATGGTTTGATGTAATGCAGAAAGTGTCCAATCAGCTGAGGTCCAGCATCACCAATGTAACACGCCATCGAGGAGACAAGGTAAAGTAGCTTATAAAATATAAAAGTAGGATTAGCCTCCTCAGCCCTCCACCTCACTGACCATCTGATAATTGCCTACCTCCTTGATCTTACACTGTGTTTACATGACACTCAGCTGCTGAATATCATGTGTTTGGTCATTTGAAATCCAGAAGCAAAGATGATTTGGTCCCACTTTCTTTGAATAGCCCCCAATAGATTATCAATAATAGATTTTCATATTATTAAACTATCTGTTAAATCTCAGTTGACTCTCAACAGCGTTAGGGTTAGGGGTAGGATTTTAGGGTATAACATATTCCCTATTGTGTTTACTGTGGAATGTAATACAATATAAAACCCACACTGAAAAGCCTGAAGTTGTGAAGAGAAAAGAATGTTATGGATGTTCTGCAGAAACGTTTCTTAAAGTTGCCTTTTACGTGTAACTCTGCCAGTAATTTCAAACTGTCTGTCTGTCTTTGAGTGGTTGATTCTTATAAATTATGCCATAACTTAATGCTAAAACTGATGTTGTATAACATGTTATACATGATATGCATAATGATATACATAATATGTTTATAATGTAATGATATGTATAAAGTAATGTAATGATGAGCATCATGTGTGTTTCAGAATGCCATCCACAACCACATTCGTCTGTTTGAGCCATTGGTGATCAAAGCGCTGAAGCAGTACACCACCAGCACCTCTGTGGCCTTGCAGAGACAAGTGCTGGATCTGCTTGCTCAGTTAGTGCAGCTCAGAGTCAATTACTGCTTGCTTGATTCAGACCAGGTGAGTCACATAACTACTCATATGTAATAATTTCTGAATCAAAGAAGAGATTCAAGGCTGCTGTTCGGACCACTTCAGTAGACAACTCACAGCTCAATGAATTAAGTGCTTTCCTGCCTATTAATAAAACTAACTCCTAAATGTGGAAGCAGCATTTCCCAAAAGCAACATTTGTAAGTTAATACGTTCTAAACTGTGTGTTTCAGGTGTTCATTGGCTTTGTGCTGAAGCAGTTTGAGTATATTGAGGTGGGGCAGTTCAGGTGAGCTGTAGTAGCTGATTGTCAAAAATCATATTCCAGTTTTCAGTCCTTTTAGGGCTTCAGCTATTAGTCAACATAGCGGACGGTGCCACCCATGAAAGAAAAATGTCAATACTTTGTTTACTTAAAATTCTCTGTAATTTTCATGTGGTAAACTTGTTGTTTTATTTTTATATAAAACGTGAAACTGAACTTGCATAACAAAGTTGCCTAAACTTTTGCATAGAATGTATTTCTTTGTTTTGTAATTTTCTAGTAAAAACAAAGTTAACAATTTGTTGGAGTGGCCAAGACTTTAAAATAGGTTTTCTGCTCCTCTCTTTCTCCTCATGCAGGGATTCCGAGGCAATCGTTCCCAATATTTTCTTTTTTCTGGTGCTACTGTCGTATGAGCGGTATCACTCCAAACAAATCATCAGCATTCCAAAGATTATTCAGCTATGTGATGGCATCATGGCCAGTGGCAGAAAAGCAGTTACACATGGTGTGTGACACGCACAAACGTGCTTACGTTACTACTTTCTATTACTGTATACCAACTCTTCACACTGCTCTTATGTGATGACAGAAAACAGTGTCTTTTATTAACATTTAAATTTTTAGGCTGCAATATTTTAACTAATAAAGAAGTAATAATATGCAGTGTTAGATTTGTAGCACAATTATAGGATTCTTTAATTCCTTATAGTTGACTTTGAGACTCCTGATGTCCATTCATGACTTGTGTGTTGTCTTTCAGCGATACCCGCTCTGCAGCCTATAGTGCATGACCTTTTTGTGCTCCGGGGCTCCAATAAGGCTGATGCAGGCAAAGAGCTGGAGACCCAAAAAGAGGTGGTTGTGTCCATGCTGCTGCGACTTATACAGCACCACCAGGTACCCCTGAATTTCTGTCTGTGTTGTGTGTGCTCCAGGTGAACTGTACTACTGCTGTGATGTACTAGTATGTGTTTTGATGAATTCATAACGTGTGTATGTAGGTCTTGGAGATGTTTATACTGGTCCTGCAGCAGTGTCATAAGGAGAATGAAGACAAATGGAAGAGGTTGTCACGTCAGATTGCTGACATAATCCTGCCGATGATTGGCAAACAACAGGTATGATTAAATGTTTATTTGCCATTGTTGTGCCAGTGTAAGGCTGCTGATTTCATTGTTTTGTTTAAAGCTTATAACTATGTGATTATACATTCATGATTAGTAATGCTATCTTCAGATAAGTACACAGAAGACACCCATGTATGTAACACTCATATGTTCTAGATGCACCTGGACTCTCCTGAAGCACTGGGAGTGCTGAACACATTGTTTGAGACAGTGGCTCCTTCCTCTCTGAGACCAGTGGACATGCTCCTGAAGAGCATGTTTGTCACGCCTTCGACAATGGTCAGAGCATTTAAAAGCAAATGAACAGTGTTAACACATGGCCTGCCATCAGACTTTGTCATTAGATCTCACGTTTGTACATATCACTTGACTTAACGATTCACATTCCTCTAAGAATTAATTTATACTTGTAGTTTGGTTCCCTTGGTCGGGACCAAAGCAGAAAATGATACATTCTTCCATTTTAGTTCTGATTTGTTTAGCGCTCACACTAACATTTAACATCAAAGCAAAAGATGTAAACAAAAGTCATACAAGTAAAATGTCACAACTGATTGGGCAAATTTTATGACATCCAATAACTGAGATGTCGACCAAACTTTCCAAATCATACTGTTCTATGTTCTATTAGGGTTCATTTGTTTTATTTATGTCTTGTTTTATCTGTCTTGTGATATTAGGGCAATAAGCCATGAGACTCACTGCATTACCATGGTTTTTCACGATGCAAAGCATGGTGAAATCCCTGTAACACAACTTTGCTTGGCTCACTGCTTTTGCACAACAGAAAAAACATTGTCACATTAATGCATAATTTAGGTGTACAGTCAAGCGTGTATATTGATTATTGTATAATTACTTCTATTGTGCCTCATCCTCGTTTCATAACCAAAGCTACCTATTCTATAATTACTGATTCATAGCTTAAGAAGAAATGATAAAACACATACACATGTCAAAACAGCATCAGGAACTCATGTTTTCTACATACCAAATAAGTTATGCAGAGAGGGGATGATGATTCACTCTGTCATTGGTCCGTTTAGATGTCTTTGGTCTGTATTCCATTTGTGCTTCAAATGAACCGCACCAGAGTTTGTTTTAATGTGATCCAAGATCTGCTCATGGGCTCTCGGCTTATTTTGTGCGCACCAAAGTTCGAATGACAGTGTTCTTACTTGTTCTAACAAATCACACTAGTTTGAACTAGTTTTGAAGTTTGACCGCCCCTTATATCTATTTTGTTCACCTTTTTAACAACTTCAAAGGTCCTGTTTATGGTTTAGGTCATATTTTTAGCTATCTGCTAATTATGTAAACATTGACCATGATCTAATATAAAAAATATACAGTTCAGTCCTATTCAGTCCTACATACTACATATTTTTACATTAAGTTAAAATAGGTGTTAGCAGGATGATACTAATCTGTGCAGTGCGATAACACTTCAGAACTGGTCTGTGTTTAGTCTGACATCAGGTTTTACAATGTAGCTTCTATAACAGTTACCTACTTTAAGAACTTATATCATGGTTACTGTTTGACTTGTGTCTCTTTACCTGAAGTATTCAGGATATTCTTTTGCTCTTACTGTAGGCATCAGTTGGCACAGTGCAGCTCTGGGTGTCTGGTATTCTGGCAATCCTTCGGGTGCTGATCTCCCAGTCCACAGAGGATATAATTCTATCCCGTGTCCAGGAGCTGTCTCTGTCTCCATATCTTCTCTCTTGCCCGGCCATCTGCCGTCTTCGCAATGATGACCCCTCACCTCCAACTGCCCCGACCAGTGCTGCAATAGAGACTAATGGAGAACCACAACGCTTCCCGCCCGAAGAGACTTTTGCCAGGTAAATGCTGCCATCATGGATGCTGTTTAGCTTTTTAGGAGAGACAGCATAGTATCTATTCACAGATTGTCAGTTCATTTCCACTTGACTTATTCTTCTGTTTTTACTCTTCATTTCTCTTTGTTGGTCTCTCTTTCTCTTTTTTCTGTTTATCAGATTTCTTTTGCAGTTGGTTGGAGTGTTGTTAGATGATATATCTAGTAAGCAGGTGAAAGTGGATATGACTGAGCAGCAGCACACTTTCTACTGCCAGCAATTGGGCACTCTTCTCATGTGTCTCATCCACATCTTCAAATCAGGTAGTCACACCTACACAAAACTGAAACAAAGACATAACTGCATAATGGTAAAATTTGATGGCAAGTTGTGTGTTAGGTCATTTGGATTAGTTTGATTAAAGATGCAGTAAAACAGGTTTATATGATGTGTGACAGCCACTTTTTCAAATTCTGTACACTAAGATTTGCACTACATTTCCCATAACCGCAATGCTGTCTTTCTGCTTGTTCTGCTGCTCTAAAGGAATGTTCCGGCGGATCACGGCTGCAGGCAGCCGTCTGCTGAAGGCGGAGGGGGGTGAGGCGGGCAGTTTCTACCCTCTGGAGGGGCTTAATGGCCTGGTGCTGCAGCTCATCACCACGCACCCCTCCTTAGTGCTACTCTGGTGCCAGGTGCTGCTCATAATCAACTACACCAACTACACATGGTGGTCTGAAGTACACCAAACCCCTAGGTATGTTTACTTCTTAAAACCATCCAGCAGAGGTCAGAAGTATGCTTTGCAGTTTTTTAAACAGTCATTTGAGAAAGAAAATCCCTTTTTTCTCTTGAGTGTTTGCAAATCAATGAGTTGATTTGAGGAACATTCATTAAAGTTGGTTAAATTCTCTTGCTCTCGTATGCTTTCTTTCTTGAGGAGACACAGTCTGTCCAGCACCAAATTGTTGAGTCCTCACTCATCTGGAGAGGGGGAGATGGAGAAGCCGGAGGGGAAGCAGGCTATGTGCAACAGAGAAATTGTGCGCAGAGGAGCGCTCATCCTCTTCTGTGACTATGTGGTGAGACTTGTCTGTCTAAATCTAACAGCGCAGTTTAAAATGAGTTGAAAGTAACAGAATATCTTCTCTTAGTTTCTTTTGCACAGTGGCCTTTTGAGATTATTGTAACTTTCTCTCTCTTTTCCTGTTGCTCTCGCATAGTCCCATATTCATTGTTTTCTGTGTCTTGTTGTCTCTCTGTGTTTGGACACTTTTCCCCCTCATTTTTATTCTTTCTCACCCTCAGTGCCAGAACCTACATGATTCAGAGCATTTAACGTGGTTGACGGTGAATCATGTCCGGGATCTGATCAGTCTTTCTCATGAGCCGCCTGTGCAGGACTTCATCAGTGCAGTGCATCGCAACTCTGCAGCTAGTGGACTCTTCATCCAGGCCATCCAGTCCCGCTGTGAAAACCTCTCTACAGTATGTTACACACATAAAAGCACACGCACACCACAAGCAACATCCTCTTCAGGGGGGGAATAACCTGCCACCGTTAGCTTGATGCCAAAACACAATAGAAAATCCCCTATATATACTAGCAGAAATTAGCATACTTTTTTAGCATCATTAGAATCATTTTTTTTTTGTTTAGTTTGTTTTTTTTTAAATGAACAAAGGCTACTAATAAAGTAGAAGTTTTCGCATAAAGCACTGTGAATTTATGAGATGTGTGACATGTTCATGATAATTGTATAGTACAGCACAGAGTATATTGTAAAGTCATATAGTCATGCTGCACACACCATGTTTACCTCATGTTTTCTCTTTGCTTGTAGCCGGTGATGTTGAAAAAGACTCTACAGTGTCTGGAGGGGATTCACCTGAGTCAGTCTGGAGCGCTGCTCATGCTTTACGTGGACAAGTTGCTGAACACTCCCTTCCGTGTGCTGGCCCGCATGGTGGACACCCTTGCCTGCAGACGTGTGGAGATGCTGCTTGCTGAGACTTTGCAGGTCACACACAAATACCTCATTATCCCTGAATATCTGTTTTGTGTGCTTAAGTAAACAGCATTTTACTCTCCAGGTATAACATGACCAGAAGCAGTGTGTTGTAGCCATGTTTTGGCGTGTTGGTTTGTTGGGCCAAAAATCAAAAAACAAAGTACATTCACACTTTTAGACAAAATCTGCATGGTAAAGGGGATCTATTATGTTTTTCTATTCTTTTCTTTTTCTTTTATTGTGTTATAAAGCTTTTTGTGCATGTAAACGGTCTGCAAAGTTACAAAGCCCAAAGTACACACCAGAGGGGGTAACTCTCTCCCACAGAAATGACTTTTCTCAGCTGCCTGAAACAGCTCATTGAAATTCCAGCCCATTGGCTCAAATTGATACAACAGAACTGACGCCATTGTTAGAATAGCCACAGCGAGAATGGTCTGTGTACAGACTGCAGGTCAGGGGTGGAACATGTAGGGGCAAAACCTGTAGCAGGATGCCGCTACTGTTTTCAACCGCTCTGGTGGTTGACCAATCAGAACAGAGTAGGCAAGCTGATCAGTCAGAGCATACTGGGCTCATCGGGAGAGGGGGGCCTAAAGAGACAGGACCGCTAACAAAGTGTTTGACAGAAGGTGAATAGATTTTTCAGTGTGAGGAAAAGTTATGTGTTTTTGAAACAAGGAAGCTTGTACATCTATTCTGGTAGACCTCAAAAATAAATTTGTGAACATTCAAAATGAGCATAAAAGGTCCTCTAAGTTTCCTTGTGGAAGAGGAATACACTAAAACTTAATGAGTGTAATGATTTGATTAGTCATAGAAAAACTGTAGCGAGATAAATGGAAATGCAGATACATGGACAGCAGATAGCAAGCTTGCGAGTTGTTTGCTGTTCAGATTCAATAGTGAAAACATGGCATATGTATGTATGAAAACGAATTTCCTTCTCTCTTTATCCTGTGTAGAATAGTATAGCTCAGCTGCCAGTGGAGGAGCTGGACAGGATCCAAGAATACCTCCAGACGAGTGGCCTAGCTCAGAGGTAGAGTTGCTCACAGCAAGCGTCTCATTTCCTGCTTTATTCTGTTTTCAGTGTCTTGTGAGGTCATGCCAGTGTTTAGTGTTTTAGTGTATTTGAGTGCTCTTTTATTGTAGTGAGATTTACAGTTAGCTGGCCGAAGTGAAAGGTTTGTTGCTGATTGATCTTTTTTATCATTTTTTGTCTCTCCTCCCCAAAAGGCATCAGAGGTTCTACTCCCTGCTGGACAGGTTCCGAGCCACTGTTGCTGAGGAAACCGCAAGCCCCTCCCCTCCCATTACCTCACACCCACTGGATGGGGACCCACCCCCTCCCCCTGAGAATGTTGTAGCAAGTAAGGTGAGGTTAAAGAGTTATTGCTGCCGCTGTGCTATACTAAATTGCATAATTGTAGTTGTGCAATAAATTGTGAGTAATTATTTACTTTTACATTCAAGTTGCGTTCTATATTGACGGATTTGAGTCACTTTTTTCTGTTTATATAAAACATTTCCATTTCTACTTCACAGCACAAGAGTGATATAAAGTGGAAGTTCAGATTCCATGCTTTTGAATGAACATTTCAACTTGTTTCAATGAGCTATAAGTGAAAAATAAGTGAGAAATTACAGCAAGCTTCTGTTATTATTGGTGATAAACTCTAATGCATGTTTGCATTATGATGGTAGAAGGACAACAGCAAACTAGATGTTCCATATTTTTCATTGGAGCAGCGACAGAAGCTTCAGCTGCAACAGTGACAGTGTACTGCAGGCATCTAGCAACTCTTCCATCAAGAGTTCAGTTTTCCAAGCTTTTGCCATTGGCCGCAATGCTGAAATTAACCAGATGTTGATTTTTCTGCAAAAATAAATGCTGAATGGTTGCTGCTAAAATCCAGACATAAGGGCCTGTATAGTGAAAGCTTAACTTTCTGAAGAAAGCGCTTCATTATGTTTAAGAAACATTTGCGTGTGTGTGCTCTCTAATGCCATCACCACTACAACTTTTACATGGCTGCGTAATTCACCATTGCTGCAACAGTTCTCCTAAGTGGCATGTAACAGTGCTTTTTTCAACATTGTGCAAGTGCTGCATGAGGGTTAAAAGTTGTGTTGCTTATTCTCTGTTTATTTTTATGTATTTATTTATTTGTTATTTTAGATTGTTATTTTAACCCTCTTGTGTTTTCTGTGTGATTACATATCATAGGAGTGGTATGTTGCTCTGGTGAAATCCCAGTGTTGTTTGAAAGGCGAAGGAGCACTCTACGAGACCACAGACCTGCTCACCAAACTACCCCAGGCTGACCTAAAGGCCATCATGTCCTGCAAGGTATTCAACACCATACATGCACTTGCCCTTTTTTTCTTTCTCTGTTCTCTATGGTCTTTCTCACATCCACGTTTGTTAGACATAATAAATTATAATAAATGTTTTGCTTCACTGACGTGCAAACACATTGGCATATAAACTGCCTGTATTACCATTCGTGCATGCTTATAATTTGTGTGTTTGTCTCTACCTCCCAGGACTTTAACATGTGTCTGTTAGCTCCATGTTTGAGTGTTGGCCTGCAGAGGCTGTGCAGAGATCAGGGGGCAGTTCTTTTTGAGACCGCCCTACATGTGACATTTGAACAGTTGGCCAGCATCACGGCGCTCCTTCCCTCCCCTCATCAGCCCCTCTTGCTCTCCTCCCAAGCCAGCATGGACTCCTCCTACGGGAATGCACTCAGTGGTGTATATGGTGAGTTTTAGCAACTGGCAACATATTAGCCTGTTAGCTTGCAAGGCCTTAGCAACTTGCAGCATGTGATTGAAAAACGAATTTATACTGCATAGATATTGAGTTGTACGCTGTGTTTGCACAGGACTTTGTTTTTAGTGCACCTATTAAAAATAGCAAGTTTCTGTAATCCATTTGGTTTATAATTTTGCTTAATCTTAAAAACATCTCAGCATCTTACACCAGAAAAACAGTGAGATCTGAGTGATCATTAGCTTATATATTACATTGTTTCATGTGTGTTTTAGATGTATATACTAGGAGTCGCCCAATATGTGTTTCTGGGCCTTTACCAGTATTGATTATTGGTGGACAAAGAGACTGATAAAATGTATGGGGCTGATAGCCATAAAGTAGTTTGTTTACATTTGTAAATTATGAGAAGACAATATGGTTTAAATGACCTCTAAATTTGTAAAAATAATGAACTATTAAATAGCTCTTTACAATGATGCATATAAGAAATATGTAATTAAATAAATAGCTCTCCATAACCATGCACATAAACAAACTCAAGCTCCCATATGACAGGTTTGATTCAAGCTAAGAAGTGCCCTAAACACTTGTATATAGCTTGCAGTAAAATCCCTCTAATGTTACTCTCAGTCTTTTTGTAGAGGTTCATTAAGTCTTGAGTCTGTTTCTCTACATATTTAATGCTATTAGTGGTAAAGCAAGTGCTCAGGCTGTCATTCTAAAGTCTAAAGTAGGCCTGGTATAAATGGATATTGTTGGTCATGGAAAAGTAACTTGTTGGTGATGTGTAAAAGGTGATAATTACCATTTTGGGGAAAAAAACTTATTAACTTACTTAAATTAGAGAGGACCAATACCGTTAAACAACTTGTAAACATGCTGGGAAATTAGGGCTCACGTTAAGATGTGTGTGCGCCAATAGTCAGTTTTTTTCTGTGTTTGTGTGTATGTGCTTTACCTACCGTGCAGTTGTTTACCTTCTACTTGTTTTACTTTACATTAAGTTTAGCTTTTGTGGATGGAACCGGAAATTAATGCTTAGGAACTGTAGCTTACTTCAGTGTGTAAAACAATCAAGCTAAATTGACTGGGTATTTACCCTAGAGCAGCTAGATAAGTTAGCTCCAGCCCTGTAGAAAAAGTTCTAAGTCTACAACCGGGAAAACAGGATCAGAAAAAGATAATAAATGAAACTAAATGGTATGTACCCAAATGTTTTTTTTTCACTTTTACTGTTATAACAAAAAAAAAGATGGTAGAGCAGTTCCCCACTGTCTTTGCTGCATGCTTCTTACTGAGTAAAATTTGCAGTATTTTCTGTACAGCTTACGTTTCCCGTTTGTTAGTTGAATTATGAACACCGCTATAATAATGGAAACGCCTTGTCTTGTAAAGTGCTGTTAGCATGCAAGTCGCTGTAAATCTGCACCAGAAGAAGCACATGAATGCACATGTACATGCTGACATATATTAAAACGACAGGTCAAGTAGTCTTCAAAAGATGTTGGGTTCCTCACTGTTATATTATTTAATTGGTTATATCAATTGTTAATCAAACCGTTAATGTCCAAAAAAAGCATATACACTTTACAGGGGTGGGGCATGTCAGAAAGGTGGAGGGGGCAATATAATAAATAATTGCAATTTTTTTTTTCAACAGGAAAATATTGTGCTAATTATTTTTAGATATTGCCCAGGCCTAGTCTTAAGACACTCCATCCATATTTACTTACTACTGATGGTAGAATGTGACCAAACCAGAAAAAATGCTTGAGTCTGCACACTGCACTCCCATGAACAATACGCTTACTCTCACCAAGTAATTGGGCTGTTTTGGGCAGGTTTTGCACTACATAAAAAGAGTCGTGTTTGTTTGGCTACAGTGGGCTTGTGCAGTGAAACAACAACTTGTGTAGACTCTGAAATCTGCCGATGTAGTGGTGTGCATAGAAACAGTGACAAAAGGTTTTGCCAAACAGTTGCACTATTCATCCTCCGCATGTCTTGGATACAACAGCATGTTACCTGCGTTTCTCACAAATGAGGGAGGCACAGAAAATTATTTTTTGCCATTTTATTTCTGTCAGGGTTCGCTACATTTACCTGAGCCAGTTCATTACTTTTACTTAGTGACAAGGGTGGAAAAACTCGTTTAGTCCAAATGGGGTGGTAGTTTTCTCATTCACCCGATTTCGGGGTTCATGTGGTTTATGTAAAAGGTAAACGGAACACTGAGGTTGTGAAATGGGTGTTTTAGTTTATTAGCTAACTGGCATGCTATGATGACAATAGTGTTGCTGAACTCTTTGCATTAAAAATTTTGATTTTACCAGACTTCATCTTGCAACTTTGAAGGGCGTTCAAACGGTGCCTACTGGAAACTTGATTTTCCAATATAACAAACTCCCCTTGAAAACAGCATTTTACTGGCTCTTATGTAAACTGGTGCTTAGTCCGTCTACAATTAAAATAAAAATGTCACTAGAAACTGTTGTATCTGTCCTTTTTGAGGACAAATTGTCACTCAAAGTCAAAAGTACATTGTCAAAGTACATTTTATCATTCTTTGCCTCTAATGTCATGGTTTTTACAAATGCACATGCATCACCTAAAATCTTTTGTCTAGAAGAAAACAAGATAAAATGCCAAAGCCGATTATCAGATAAAATCGAAATAACTGGCCGATAATCAGTTGACCCCTTGTATATACTATTACTTGTTAACGCAGACAGCCGTTACAACTGTGTGTGTGTGTGTGTGTGTGTGTGTGTGTGTGTGTGTGTGTGTGTGTATGTGCGTTACAGGAGAGCCTGGCTTCTATCAGACAGTGGTGAGTGTTTGTGGGGCGTTGAGTCAGTACCTACTGGCTCTGCCAAAACTGCCCTCTCCTCTGCAGATCCCTCCTGCTGCAGAACACCTCATCACCTCCTTCAGCACCCTTGCCATAGAGGTCAGTCATACACGCTGCCATAGCACTTATGCTTTTATGAGTGTCTTTATAAATTAATAGATTTCTGAACTGACATGAGAAGGTTTTTTTTTTTGTCCAATTGTATCTAAACATTTGTTTTTGCATTTTGCTTGCTTTTCTAGACTAATATCTGCCCTCTTTTCTCTCTCTTTCTATCACTTTTCTTTCTCTGTAGCTTGTGGCATGGCGGTTGCTGCAGGACCGGCTACCTCTCAGTGTGGATGTGCAGATCAGCGTGTCCTGCTTGTGTCTGGCTCTTCAGCAGCCCACAGTCTGGACACACTTTGCCTCTCGTGCCTACCTCACACACACCTGCTCCATTATCCACTGCATTCAGCTGCTCATTTACTCAGGTGTGTGTACATGTAGGAAGGTGGATGTTTTTGCCCTCAGATAACGTAACTGGTTACACACTGATTTGAATCGAATATGATTGAATTTTCTGCCTAATGCAGTCGCAGTCGGTCCTGGTGACCAACTTGTGAGGCCTGAGAAGAAATCACGCTCAGACCGTGACTCTGAGGAGGACCAGGTGGACTCTGCACCAGACAGTGAGTTTTGCGCACAGAGACATGCACACTTGCACAAACATATGGAAGCATGTGCCAGTAGAGCTCCCTTTTATTTACTTTTTTGATTCATTGATGATTGCATGTGTATTTCAGATATACGTGAGCAGCGGTGTTGTGAGATTATGGCTGAGCTGGTGGAAAGCCTGCAGTGTGTTCTCGCTCTTGGTCACCACAGAAACAGCAATATCCCAGCATTCCTTACCCCTACCCTTCGGAATGTCATAATCAGCCTGGCTAGGCTGCCTCTGGTTAACAGCTACACACGGGTCCCACCACTGGTGAGTGCCTCCGTCCTTGTGTGTGTGTGCGTGTTAGGGCTGGGACGATAAGCAAATTTGAAAAATTGTTAAATGCTGTCTTACTTTAGAGCTCATGGCTTCTCTAGTTTATTCTTCTTTTAGCCCTTGGAGCTCTGAGCTCAATCAGAGCCTCAAACCGCAACCCCCCTTCCACTCTTGCATGTCACACTTTTGGAACTCAGCACTTGATGTAGAAGTTTAAGAGTGTTAAAAAAAATTGCAGCTGCTGTTTTTATTTGTAAAAAGTCCTTGCAGTGAGTAAACATTAACTTAGCATTTTCCTTACATAGCAGATCTCAATTACATCTATGCACTGTTGTGTGTGAAACCAGGACTAGAGTTTCAGATCACAGATTTGAGAGCAGCACACTCATACATAGATTCTGTCTATCAATTTTATGACTGTTATCAATGATATTTTCCTAGCCCTAGTTTGTGTCCCTGTCTGTGATTATCTGTTTCTTTGCATGCCTGGTGTGTGTGTATCTGTCCATGTGTGCATACATGTGTGTATTTGTAATACATTTCTGTTTGGCTGTGTGTATATGCGTTTGTGTGTCAGGTCTGGAAGCTGGGCTGGTCCCCCAGACGTGGTGGGGAGTTTGGGACAGCACTGCCTGAGATTCCTGTTGAGTTCCTCCAGGAGAAAGACATCTTCAGAGAATTCCTTTACCGCATTAACACTTTGGGTATGAGACAGACAGACATGAGTCTATGGCCTAACATCTTGTGTTTATCAGAATCATGTTTTGTAATGTCATGCGTGTGCTGCAGGTTGGAGCAGCAGGACTCAGTTTGAGGAGACCTGGGCCACTCTATTAGGGGTGCTGGTCACCCAGCCAATCACTATGGACCAAGAAGAGGAGAGCCAGCAAGAGGTAAGGGCAGTGTTTCAATTTATGGAATATGAAGAATTACTTTTTTTCATTAACAACTTATAGTTTGTTTTCACTATTTGTTGTTTTGTGTCTGTATGTTTGTGTAACAGGAGGATCTGGAGAGGACTCAGATAAATGTTTTAGCCGTGCAGGCCATCACCTCACTGGTGCTGAGCGCCATGACTCTGCCTGCAGCTGGGAACCCTGCAGTCAGCTGCCTGGAGCAGCAGCCACGCAACAAGAGCCTCAAAGCTCTTGACACCAGGTGCATTTACGTATATTATATGTTATATAATATTATAGAGCAACTTAGTGTTTTTAAAAGTAAGCAAAACGTTTACACTTCTCACTTCAGTCTTTTAAAGCTAAACCTATTTGTAAAGTAGACATTTAAACATTTTAAAGTGTTTTTTAATGCTTGAATATTTAACAAATGGTTTATCCCTGGCAATTTAGAGTGGCAGCTGAATGAAAAGATAGTGGTCCCAGCCACTCTTGTTGGTATATTATAGTGAACTGAATTGAAGTGAGAGTGTAAACAGTGAGCTGAACACATGTTAAAAGTATTCATAATGAAATAATAAAATTGTGTTGCAGGTTTGGGCGTAAGCTGAGTGTGATCAGAGGTGTGGTTGAGAGGGAGATTCAAGCCATGGTGTCCAAGAGAGACAACATAGCCACACACTTCCCTTACCAAGCCTGGGACCCAGTACCGTCGTTGTCATCTTCATCTGCAGGTGATGTGCACATGTGCAACCACGCACACTCATGCTCTCCATTAGGGAAGGCCATCTAGAAATCACTCTTACTTTTTCCTGTTAAGAATTTTGTGAATTTATTTGTGCAGGCACTCTGATCAGCCATGAGAAGCTCCTCCTTCAGATCAACACTGAGCGAGAGATGGGCAACATGGACTATAAACTAGGCCAGGTTAGAGAGTCCAAAAACTACACCCCCCAAAACTGTTGTACATCTGATTTAGATTTGACTTCTTTCATAGTCTATACTGTCTGTTCATGCAGATTTTGTTTGTATTACCACTGTAGGTGTCCATTCACTCTGTGTGGTTGGGGAATAATATCACTCCTCTGAGGGAGGAAGAGTGGGGTGAAGATGAGGAAGATGAAACAGATGCTCCAGCACCTTCCTCGCCACCAACATCTCCTATTAACTCCAGGTAAAGCTATGTATACACACCTACACAATTATTTGTAGCTTGTACAATGTATATGGATTTATTCATTGAAGTACCAATAACTTATTTAGATCAGTATAAGGCAGCGAAGTGTGAATTGTGTTCTGCAATAAGACAAAGATGAACTATGCAAAGCGATTGAAGGAGAAGGTGAAAGGTAATGATGCTAGATCATTTTGGGAAAGTGAAGTTTGATGCCCAATTATAAAGTAAGGTCTCTGTCTATACCAGATAACGATGTGGACCTACCAAACAAATTTAATCTGTTTCATGCGTGATATTAAGAGTCCACCTTTCATTGTGCCTAGTTGTGTGTCCCTTTCACCACCAATTGTCATTACTGAAGGTGGTTAGATCTGTTCTTAATGTACAAAATCCCCCCCAAAAAATCACCTGGACCATATAAGCTTTGCCCTGCTGAATTAGAATATTGAGCTTGTCAACCAGCCTCATTGTTTACAGATATATTTAACATCTCTCTGAGTCAGGGTGTTCTGCCACAATGTTTTAAAGAATCAGTTATCATCCCTGTGCAAACAGGTGCTAAAACCACCTCACTGAATGATTTTAGACCCAAAGCACTTGTTTTTGTTTCTTTGAAGGCATTTGAGCATATTATTCTTACCCATCTTAAGTCACATACAGCTTCATATCAGTCCGCTTATTTTGCCAGTCGATCGTTTGACTATGCTGTTAATCTAGCTCTTTGCCACAATTAGAGACATTTAGATCTGGCTAACAATTATGTATGTGTTTTATTCATTGATTTCATAGCCTTTGTAAGACTCACAGATGTAATTTTTCATGATTCTCCTCTACTAAATGTTGTAATTGTATGTTGTATTGTATAGTGTTTATTGTATGTGTGTTACATTGTATGTATATATGTATTGTGGTACAACAAAGTTGAATTACATCCTGATGCACTAGATACAACTACCACAGACATATTGTGTAGTAATAAAAGAATCAAATTACATTAATGCCATACAGACTTAATATTGTAGGACTGCAGCCGAATATTATTTCAGTAATTAATGAAAATTATAAAAGTATTATATTTTACATCAATTAAATGATCTAAAATCCCACCCACTAATAGATCAGACCTGCCCCTCCACTCCCATCCAATACAGTGATCTTGTTGTTGTATGCTGGTACTGTACCACATAACTCACACAATAGTAATGGTAGGATCAGTGCACTTAACATAGTATTAAGTTCGTAGATGGAATTTCTGCAGACTGACCCCAGTGCTGTCTGTCTTATCTTCTCTTAAGGAAACACCGAGCTGGAGTAGACATTCACTCCTGCTCCCAGTTCCTCCTGGAGCTCTATAGCCAGTGGATCCTCCCTGGCAGTCCCAGCAATAGAAAAACACCTGTAGTGCTTATCAGTGAGGTGGTGCGTTCGGTAAGTATGTGAGTTTTGATAAGAGTGCATTTTCAGTGCAAAATGCAGACCAGCCTTTTCGTTTATTTAATTTCCAGTCTAATTATTAATTTTTCTTTAGCAGGGACATTCTGTAAAAATTACGCAAAGGCCTCCAACACTAATTATAAAATGAATCTATCAGTATTTAATTTCTCCACCCTTAAAAGAGACATTTAGCATTCACACAAACTACCCTAGCACACCTTAGCTGTCTTGCAAATTTCCTTCTCATGTGCATCTAAAATGGCTAAAGATGATATTTCTGAGGAGATTGGATTTAGTTTATACTATATCTAGTTTCCAAAACTGGAGTTATAAATATTAAGAGAGAGAGAAAATAGTACTCATGCAAAGCCTGATGGACCAAAGAAACTGTCACCATCACATAAACTGTACTGAAAGCTTTCATCTTTGAGATGAAACACCTGCTCCAGTTTACAAAAAATACACAGGGACAGGTGTTTCTGTCCATCCTTCCACTATGAGAAGACAATGCTGTGGCTTTGAAAGGACATGTAGCTGTCAAGAAATTGTTACTGAGTAAAGAAAACGGAGAAAAAAAATGCACTAGAACACAGAAACTGGACATCTGAGATGTAGAGTAAGGTTTTGTGGACTGATTAGTCTAAATTTTTAGCTGGGATTACTCGTTTCATGAGAAGCAAAAAATGCAACCAACTTAGACTAAACTTTTGTGTTCTTTTCAGACAAGTCTCTGAAAAGAATGAAAGCTGTAATAAAGGCAAAGTGTGGACACTAAATAAAAAACTTAAAAAAAAAAAAAATTTATATTTAGTTGTTGAGGCTTCTGTGTAATTTTCTGTTAAAATGTTTTCTGCTTTTTTCCCTGATGCTGAAAATTGCCGCTTGAAATCAAATAAATAAATAAACAAATTAAATAAATAAATTAATTAAATAAAATAAATAAATTAAATTAAAGACTGGGAATTAAATAAATAAAAGGGTGCTCTCTCAGTGTATTACTGTTTGTACTGTTATTTTATTTTGTCCTTTCATCTCTTTTGTGCTCTCTGTTTAATTCTTTTCCTTTTAAACCTCTATCCCTTCTCAGCTGTTGGCGGTGTCTGATCTGTTTACGGAGAGAAATCAGTTTGATATGATGTTCTCCACCCTGATGGAGCTGCAGAAGGTCCATCCACCAGAGGATGAGATTCTCAACCAGTACCTTGTCCCTGCTATTTGCAAAGCAGCCGCTGTGCTGGGCATGGTGGGTGTGAGTGCGTATATGTGTGTAGGCGTGTAAGAAGGAATTGGTGAACGCTGGCTAATTTCAGGATTTGTAAAAATACCTATGTCGGTGTGGTTTAGGATAAGGTGACAGCAGAGCCTGTGTGTCGGCTGCTGGAGACGACGCTGCGGAGCACTCATTTGCCTAGTCGAATTGGAGCACTGCATGGAGTTCTGTACGTGCTGGAGTGTGACCTTTTGGATGACACTGCGCGCCAACTCATACCCACCGTCAGCGAATATGTACTGTCTAATCTTCGGGCCATCGCCCAGTAAGTGACACATTTACTGTATATGTGCACACACCAACTTGTTTTCAGTGAATACATACTCTGCAACCTTAGAACCATCTCTCATTGACTAACATGCACAAGCTCATATCCGCTGTACTGTCCAACCACAAAGCCATGTGTTCTCCATAGAAAAGCATTGTTTGTAGAGGGAATGCTCTGAAGCAGCCACATACAAATCTAGGATTGGTGCAAATCAAAGGAGTATAAAGCTCCCCAGCTGTGTAATTGCATTCTCTGGAGTGATGGGACACTATTGCCTACGTTTAGAATGAGTGGAATGGCTCTTTAACCCATATTTCCACTGCATCATTGCAACATCAACTGGAAAACCTTCCTAGAAGAGAAGAGGCTGTTACTGTAGCAAAGGCTGGGATAAACTTCTTATTAGTGCTCTAGATTTTAAAACAAATGTTTGACAAGAAATTGTCCAGATGCTTGTGGATTCACAGTGTATGTACACAAACACTAACCTGCCACACCAACTCATACCCACTTAAGTGAATACGCACTGCCAGCTTTAGAGCCAACACCCAATGACTAACGAAACACTCAACATTTTCAGATGCACTGAATATGTAATGGCTAATCTCAGAGTTTCTTACACCAACCACTGTCCAGTTAATGCATACTGTTAAATGTCATTGTTCCACACCCACCTCAGGTTTTACCTGCTGTCAGCAAATGTCTACCATTCATTTTTATCTCACAGTGAGTAATGATAATCACTGTCTTTCTAATCTTACAGCCATCAGAGCGGAACACAGCTGCAGTTCTGCAGCTTGATAATACATCAGTAGTCACGTAGAAGAGTGTGTGTCACATATGAGAGAATATGAGATAAGACAGAAATGGTAAGCAGTTAGTGTTCCACTCCAGATAAAAGACCTCACGCTGACATGGCTTTCTTAAGATTTTTAGCCCCCAGTGGTAAAAGCTGATGGCAGAGCCCGCTGCATGCTGAGCCACGCTACTTGGCTATCAGCTCCTCATTAGCTCTAAGAAATGGTGTCTCACTGAGAGCCAAGAAGACTTACAGCTGGCAGAAGATAATGAAATATGACTGAGTGTGTGCAAGACTAACAAATTTGTGTGTGTTTGTGTGTTGTGTTTCAGCTGTGTGAACCTGCATAATCAGCAGCATGTGTTGGTGATGTGTGCTGTGGCATTCTACATGATGGAGAACTACCCACTGGATGTGGGGTCAGAGTTCAATGCAGGGGTCATCCAGGTAAGGGTGTTTAAAAGGGAATTTCACTGATTATTCAGAATTTCTGCATAGTTCAAGTTAGGAAGTTAGGATGTAAACAGTTATTCAGAGTGGTTTGATGTCAAATGCGGCATTCCAGAGAAACTTTCCAATTCAGAATTGGTCAGAGTGGTGGTGGTGATAAGGTGTCCAAAGTGCCTCTGAAACCTACCTTACAGAAAGCTATTCCATGAAATGGTTATGAGTATGTTGGGTGATGTCTCAGACGTTGTTTTACGATAGTTTTGCGACAGTTTTGCGACAAAGTTGTGTCCTAAAATGTATTTTCAAAAACACATTCATGGTGAAGATTCAAACACATGGTGTTATTACCCAGTGAAAACTTTTTTTTTACCCCCCAGATTTACCACTACTCAACATTATCAACATTACAAGATATGTGGTTTCACTGGGCGATCTGGATAGCAAATAAAACAGCTTTGAATTGTAGATGTTGTGATGTTCCTAGAATGGCACATTTCCTACCAGACCACTCTGAATTATTTTTTTATCTCTGTTTTGAAAAATCATCTACGTGTTTCTGTTTTTAATGTTTTGCTCCATGTTACATTTCATTTCTTTTGTCTTTCTTCATGTCTTTCTTTGTGTTCTCTTTGTCTCTTTCATTTCTGCAGCTGTGTGGTGTAATGCTCTCTGCCAGTGAGGAAGCCACTCCATCAGTGATCTACCACTGCACACTGCGAGGTCTGGAGCGTTTGCTTCTGTCTGAACAGCTGTCACGGATGGACGCAGAGACACTGGTGAAGCTGAGCGTGGATCGCGTGAACATGCCTAGTCCGCACCGCGCCATGGCCGCCCTGGGTCTCATGCTCACCTGCATGTACACAGGTGTGCCTGGAGAGGAAGGCAGGACACATTTCAGCTCACCTTTTCCCCCACTGACCCTTTTACTAACCAGCACCTGCAGAACAGCCCCCTCCCTCATACTAACAAGCCTTACTAATGCACAGCACACCTACACACACACTGTTGATCTTTGATGATGAGGTTCCGTAAAGAGAAGCTGTGTATATATAATATTTTGTTTTCCGTATGAGATCTGCTTCTGAGCTTTGAAGAATAAGAGGAAGATGCACAGTACTTTGGAATTGTTTAAATGAAGTTTCCTACTATTTTATTAGATGAGTAGAAGGCTAGATGTTACTTTGCGTCGTGTTTGCCGAAACTGATGGCCATTTTGCCTTCCTTCTGCAGGGAAGGAGAAAGGGAGTCCTGGTCGCCCGGCTGATGCAGATCCCACAGCTCCTGACAGCGAGTCGGTTATTGTTGCCATGGAGCGTGTCTCTGTTCTCTTCGACAGGTAACATTTGAGCATGTCTGATCAAGATATTAATGTACTGTTAATAGAGTTCTTCAGTGAAACATTCAGGTTAATTTTGGTCATTTTTTGTTTGTAGTTTAGAAGTCTGATCAGATGAATTTGGAGACTAGCTTGTTAATATATTGTCCTCCAAATGCAGGATCCGAAAAGGTTTTCCTTGTGAAGCAAGGGTGGTGTCTCGCATCCTGCCACAGTTCCTAGATGACTTTTTCCCGCCGCAGGACGTCATGAACAAAGTCATTGGAGAGTTCCTGTCCAATCAACAGCCTTATCCACAGTTCATGGCAACAGTGGTTTATAAGGTGGATTATGTTTTGCGTTTGTTCTTTATACCAAGAATTGCTGTCAATTCAAAAGTTTATTAGATTTCATGTTCTTCTAGCAGTGTTTTGATTTTGTTGCTTTGATTTCATGTCAACAAGCCAGTAAACTTGCTTTTTTCTTGAGGAAGGTTAATGTGGTTAAATAACAAAGAAGGACTTTGTCAGCAGAGCCTCTATTTGTTATTTTTGCCATAAACTAAGTAATTGAAATAGTTCACTACTTCACTACTTCTGTGCTGAGAGAAACTCATGGGTTTGGGTGAAATATGGTGAATACAAATGGAGAATGACATCAAAACCTGCAGAGATATGGGTTACTACTAGTTATTCTATAATTCTGAAATAAGTGTTTGAGGATTCCGATCATTTTTCAAAATAGCGATTTATTAACAGTAAGTTGCAATGTTTTCACAGTAAGAGACATATTACCTTAGCATAGACATTGATTATAATTTGTGTTCCTTGTTCCAGGTGTTTCAGACACTTCATGCCACAGGCCAGTCCTCCATGGTGCGAGACTGGGTGCTACTCTCTCTTTCCAACTTCACACAGAGAACACCTGTTGCCATGGCAATGTGGAGCCTATCCTGCTTCTTTGTCAGTGCCTCCACTAGCCAGTGGATCTCTGCCCTGTATCCTTAAACATACCCACAAACATTAAACACAATGCCTTTTGTTAGTATTCTCTGCTTGTATCACTTTACTACACGCCAGAAAGTACTGTGCTGGAAGCAGCACTCCATTGGTGTCCGTTTCAAACACCAGGCATATAGATCCAAAACCAAGCTTTCTTTGTTCCTCTTCTCTGTTTTTTCCCGTTCTCTACCTATTTTGTTCTCCTTAATTCCTCTCTTCTCTTTCAGCCTGCCTCATGTGATCAGTCGCATGGGCAAGTCAGACACCGTGGACGTTAGCCTGTTCTGTCTGGTTGCCATGGACTTCTACCGACATCAGATTGACGAGGAGTTGGATCGCAGGTCCTTCCAGTCTGTTTTTGAGATGGTGGCATCGCCTGGTAGCCCTTATCATCAGCTACTGTGCTGTCTGCAGAGCATCCACCAGGACACATCACTCTGAGACATGCCAGAATAATTCTACCAAGATGTGTCGCTGTGAGACAGACCATAATGCTATACTAGCTTAGATCTGAACAAGATACACCATATTAATTCAGCCACGGTGATCACTTCGAGCTATATCACTTTTAGACTGACCATAATACAGAGCTTATACAGTCTATAGTACTCTAAAAGGCCCTATTATGAGACATGGCCGCATCATACCAGGAGTTGAATGGGGACCTAGGCAGTCTACTGTGATGTTGACCATTAAAAATAAATAAATAAACACAAGACCCCATCATAGTTGGCTGATGCAAGAAATGGTAGGATTTCAATCAGTTCAAAGTTATTGCATCCTCAAGATGCTAGATCCCATAATGCATTTGGAAAAAAAAAACTGGAATGGTCAGCTTTAAAAGATGCTACCGAGGAATATCGCTGTTATAGGAGCAGAGTCTTTCGTGCATTCTGTTCAAAGTTGACTTTCAGGCTCAGCATCTGTAAGGAAATTGACAATGGAGCGCAACTGGTCTGATCTCAGAGACGTTAACACACAGCATATGAAATTCAGTTAGACGGAATGTCAGATAGCTGATATGGAGATAAAACAGCAGGTCATTCACACTGGCAAGCAAGCAAGTAATTTTACATGGTGATCAGAAACACTGCACTACTCACAGTGAAAAAAGTACACAGCCTCTTTTACACCAGTATACATTCAGGATCCGATTTTTCCAGCCTTGCAACTTTTCAACTCTTTTAGTGTTGTCACTCGCTTAACTATCCCACAACAGCAAAGCCAACACATAGATGGACTCCCCAGTCAGACGTCACCATATCCACATGTAATGGTAAACATATTTCAGGAAAGTTCACTATTTAAGGTGTTTACTGTTCAGCTTGGAACTAGCGCACGCAAGTTGGATGTATCATATCTGATTGTGGTTCTCGACCTCACCCCACCATTTCTTTCTATTTTCTCTAAACTCGCCTCTTCCCGCCCTAGAAGCAAAACATTTTTTTCCCTCCTTGCTCTTAAGTCATTCCTTTTGCACAAACAATGCATCAGTTCGCCCTTTCTGACTTTTAGCACTTGGAGAAAATTGATAACTTTAATTGCAAACTGACTTTATGTAACTCTCCCTTATGTGAGGGAGCTACTTAAGCCATGTTGAAATGAGAAGATGAAATTATTTCCATGTATTTAAAACATAATGTGCTAGATGATTCTGTTTTGTTTTATGTTGCAAATAATAGAATTGGCTAGTGCGAAGTTTACTATTCTCTTAAGTCCAGCTGTCTTTTTAATTTTAATGTTTATTTTTTAAAATTAAAATAAGATACTTGCTTCTCATTTATAAGCCCTCTAGGAAAGGGTTTGAAATAGCCATAGTGCTTGGTGTTGTTTTAATTCATGGCAGGTAAAAAAATCAGTACTTCAAGACAGCATCTGAAACTACTGCACATGAATTTACATTGGTTTAATGTAATCTAGTTACACCTTCATAATGGTTTGTTAGTTTGTTTTGATTTCTTTTAATGCTCAGGATGTAACGTGATTATTGATGTAGAGTCACAACTGGAAGTCTGTCTTTTATGTTGAGTGTCTAAATAATGTAAAATTTATGTAAAAAGAAAAGAAAAATATTTGTGTTAAACTTCCAAAACTCTGTGGTGCATGAGGATAGCCACCAAAAGAAAAGATGGCATGAAGACCACAGTTACTGAATGTGTGCAAACTACTACACACTATGAAGATGACACACCGCGTCAGTGCTTCAGGGTTTCTCCATGTAGAGAGACGCAGTTGAATTACAGAAACTGACAGCTATTCACTCTTTAAAGGCCTGGAATGAACAATCATGTTATATTTGCTTTGACTGCATAGACATCACTTCACTGTAAATAGAAGCCTTAGTCAACAACCTGGCAACATCTTGTATATTTAAGCCTGCAGCATGCTGTTGTCTGCTTTCAATATTAAATCGGTATTTTCACGTGATGTCAAAACTACAGTGGAGGGGGGGGCCACTTTTTTTGTGGTCGGCTTAAGTATAATGACCAATGAAAAACTTGGAAGAAATTGGGCAGGTTGTCTTTAGGTACCCCGGCATGCTTATTGGCTCTAATATGGCAACAGAGTTTGTCTGTCTTGTTGCATTACAGTCATAGCTTTAGGTATATTAAATATGAACTAATATCCAGTGCTGTCTGCGATGTTTTAGTGGTGTAGAGAGGCAGAGATATCCAGCCTTTGACATTTTCACAGTTGAAGTGTACCCTTGTATAGACACACTCGGTCGATGTTTCTTCATGCACTCAGAGGTTTCTCAATTGTAAAAGCATTCTTTTGGCGTCGACGGTGCTCCAAATTCTGCATTTACACAATAAACTTTTAACTCCTGTGTTGTTTGGTAGCTACTTTTAAGATGCAAAAGCTTGAAGGATTGCAAAAACCCAAAAGAGTCGAAGCTGGAATGACTCAAACGCCTTTATCTAGGTGTTAAAATCAGCAACTCGTAAGACTTCACAGCCTATTTCAAGAATTAGTGGGCTGCTTTGATGGATTTAGCACATCGCTGAGCTCAAGCCCTGAGAATACAGGATGCGCTTTCTTTTATTTTCCCTCACTTTTTTTTCTATTTTCCAGTCCCCCCACCCTGCATCCTTCCCCTGCTTAAGTTCCTTCAGTAATGATCTGAAGATCCATTTTTTCATTGTAATTGAGGCATAGATCAATCAGTATGTGGGGACAGTAGATGGACTTTCTGCCCCATCAGTGCACGTCTGGTAGGGAAGGTTGGCGGATGTGTAAGTGTGTGTACTCAGTTCAGAACAGCAGTGTAGGAGGCTGTGATAGTCTTGCACTGGAGCCTCCTGAACACCTGCTGTTTCTGCTTTAAGTATTCCAACTTACTTCTGCAGGCTTGATGCAGTCGAATGAAGACAAAGTCGTTGTATTTAATGTAATGGCTTATTTTAATATAAAATTACTGGAAAGATTATAATGTAGTAATAAAATGAAGAATAAAATGTTTAAAAACGTTTTTTTGTTCGTTTGTATTTCCTTTGTACCCTTGCCTGAGTTTTCAGTTATTTTGCAAACTTTTTTGCTTTTTTTTTCCAGTACTTTTGTATTTTCTATTATTTTAATTTTTTATTTTAATTTTCATTATGACCATAATTTAAACTGGACAGCTGCACTTCTGTGTGTTTTAATGGGCCCATTTCCTGCATTCTTCTGGCATTTTACTGATATTTGTGCAGTTTAATGTACCAAAAACATAATTCATTTTTAATAAGACCATTTTCCATTTTCTTCTGATCATACAGGATTAAACAAGCTGTTTTTCTTAATGTTTCCTTAAAACTGCTATATGTAAATGAGCTCTGTTCTGATCGGCTGCCCTGTATTGTGCCCTGTTTAAAAAGCAGGCTGAAATACTCCTCATAACTTCAGTGTGAATGGGCATAGCTAATCTGCTGTACAATGAATGGGTGGATATTTGTCTGTTGCTTTTCTTGGCATCACAAAAACAGTGCATTTAAAATTGTCTATTTTTGCAGCTTAAGTTCCATATGTGGACTGAGTAGCGAAGGGTAAAATTTGAAACTTTCACGTCAAACTCTTGTTTCTAAAAGGTGAGGCTTATTCAGTTTTCCATGTGGACACTTAAAAGTGCCAGCTCCTTTCATATCAGTAGCAGCCAACGGTTTTAGACGACTGTTTGGGACAGTGTGTAGTGATAATCCTCTCAAACACTTAGCAGGGTGTTAACAGTCTCAGCAGATCAGGGGGGAATCTCAGGCCAGCCAAGAAAGAGGCAAGATCTGTTAGTCTTGAAAATGAGAGGCTGACGGGCAGACAAAGCCCCCGTGTGTGTGGCCGTGCTGGCAGTGTTGGACTAAAATGTAGTACAGACAGGTCTCTATATAGACTGAAGTTATGTCGTGAACGGTTGATTATTAGTCAGTGACTCTAACAGTGTCTGCAGCTCTGTTAACCTGATCTGAGATCAGTAGCCCTCGTCCCAGTTCTGCACCTGCATCCAACTAAATGAACCTCTTTAGCCTGATGTTCAATTATTGGAATCCCCTTTTTTCCTCCAGAAAAGTATTGGCAGACTCTTTTATTGTGATTTGGATGTTCTTGTTCTTGTACTGCCAGTGTGTTTGTACAGTCGAAGGCCATGAAGTCATGTGACCAAAAGAAGGGCTACAGCAGTGGTCCCCCCTTAAAAAAAACTTGGGAAGCACACACACCTCCTCCATCCTTACACCAGCTGGTTGGCCTTCTTTTGTTTACTCCAGCAGGAAGACTAAGTTACCATGCAGTCAAATTGTGCAACGGCGGATGACACGTTTATTACAAGGACCGAATAACGGAATCCGTGTGTCTCTGTTAACAAGGTAAAGGACCTTATAAACTCACTGGTAAGTTGCAGTTTAGCCTCCGTGAAACGTTTAACAAATTGCTAATTTTAGCTAGCCTGGTCATTCCAGTCTTTGGTTTTACGGGGGAAAAGAAAAAATATATAGCTGGTTAAGTTTAGCCCAGCATGTCAATGTCTCACAGCTTTTTCTTATTACTAAATCAAGAACGTTTTATCTGCTTAGCCTAAAGTAGCATGTCGGTGTTTGTCATTTGTAACTGTATCTTTTGTGGCGCTGAAAATTCAACACCGTTACTCGCACCAACCAGCTGTTCCCTTAGAAAACAATACGGGTTAGCAGCCTCGTTAGCGTTCAAGCTAATGTCTACGAATAATTATTGCTGTGACGGAATGAATGAGTACATGGCTATGGCTAGTGACGTCTTAAGTAACGCACCACATGTTGTAGTGATGTATTGAACTTCGTTTGTTTCGTAAATGGGAAAGTTTTGAAGTTTTCGACACCTGTGGAATACTTTGGATTCCGAGCCAACTAGCCAGTCTCAATCAAACTGGATTCCCGAACTGGGACGAGTTCTTAAGATGATTGACACAGACACAGACCAATAGCCGGTGCCCTTTGTCTGTTGACATATCCGTTGTCATGGTTACAGGTAGTGACTTGTTACTCTTTGTCCAATGGGAGCGCGGAGGCGGGACGGAACCGCGTAGCAAGAGTGAATGAGGGCGCATCGCATCCAGAGGCAAAAGCCGACGAACAATGAAGGAAAGTTTATGAGCTGCAGTTAAACGTGAGAGTGAGCGGATCAGCAGCGGCTGCGCGCTGTGGGTTTAAGAAAGGAGCGTAAACGGCATCACGGCGACTTGAAGATCCCGCTGCCGACCTTAAATTATGACACTGATACTGTAAGGTCGCTTTTTTCCGAGACACTTCTGCAGTCAGGATGCCATGAGGCTTCGGCTACACCGTAAAACGTACTCCCAGTATATTACATTCACAACAGTCAGTGATCATGATGACAACCAACGGTATATTATTATTATTATTATTATTATTATTATTATTATTATTATTATTATCCTCCTTCTCCTTCTCCTCCTCCTTCTCCTGCTCCTTCTTCTGGTGATGGATTTTTGTCCGCTAACTCATCCTGCAGGTTTTAAATATCGACACGGTTCCAACTAGGAAATGTTCGGTCTGATAGGGAACGGTGTGTAGCTTTTTGAGCGGACATACGGTTTTCGTTCAGTTATCGTTAAATTACGATTTTTTTTCTCATAGAGATGAATGGGGTGCAGAAGTTTGTGTACCCAGCTTATATCACGATGGTACAATTCCATTCCTTGTGGGATATTATAGCAACCACCTAGCAACCACCTAGGATACCATAGCAACCACCTGAGATACCACATCAGCTGCTTAGTGACACTTTAGCAGCCCTTCGAGATACCAAAGCAACTTTAAAGCAACACCCTAGCAGCCATCTGTCATACTTTAGCAACTGCCTAGCAACATCCTAGCAGCTACCTAGCAACCAGCAGCTACCACCTGGAATACCATAGCAACAACCTAGCAACACCCTAGCGACCAGCTGGAATACCATAGCAGCTGCTTAGCAACACTCTAGCATCCACCTGAGATACCATAGGAACCGCCTAGCAACACCTTAACAGTCACCTGTGATACCGTAAAATGACCCTGCAACACCTTAGTAACCAGCTGCAAAACTATAGCAACTGCATAGCACCATCATAGCTACCTTAAGCAGAAAGATTACTCTGCATTTTCTTCATAAAATGCACTTTTCTAGTTAGTTAATATTATTTTATAACTATTGATGTTAATAATGATAATGATAATAATAGTTATAATAATATTGACAACAGTAATAATAATTACTCTAATTCATTTTCTTTTTTGCTGTTGCTCCAAAAAGAAAGAAAGAAAAAAAAACCTTGTTTGTTGTGCGTGTGAGCATTTGTTGGTACGGTTTTGTTTCTGCTGTGCTTTAAAATAAGGGCGTATGATGATATCAGAGTCATATCTGTCTCGGCAGATATTTGTTTTAAAAAATGATTGGCTTTGGACTGAAGATTAGATTGAACTAATATTTTAATATTTGGTGCACTCTGGAAAGGCAGAATGTTTAGGTGATGCGGGGTTACTGTGTTGAAATGTCTGTATTTTATTCATTCTACAGCATCTGTAACTACAGAAATAAATCTTATATTTCTGATTTCTTCTGTAATGCTAATCCAGGTGGATTTAGTTCCAATTTCTACATTTTACAAATGTTTATCAAATTTTTTATTTACATCGGCAGACTCAAAGGAACGAAAAATTGGAAAAGAGATCTTAACCTTTGCCGTTCTTCCCCTAGGCAGCAGTGAGATCAGACGAGTGGTCACCAAACCTCCTTTTGGAGATCTGCTTTCCTGAAGAGTGTAGTTTAAAAGCCTGCTGCCCTTTTTCATCTGATCTAGCCAATCAAGGACTTCTGAAGACGTTACTTAGGTGGTGTTGCAGATTGTAGTTGGACCTAGACTCTATAGGAAGCTAGATCTTCAGGACCAGCATCAGTGACCACTGCTATAGACAAAGTGATTTAGAAAGTATTCTTGAAGAAAGTATACTTAACATGCTTGCTTAAAAATGGGATTCTTAATATAACTTCTTAATGTGGAGTACAAATACAGTTTATTTGGAACAGTTCTGAGGCACACTCCTGTACTTAGTGGGGTTAACAAGGAGGCCTTACAAATATAGTGTACTGGCAGAGAGATTGGGCATGTAGTGATAATTTGTGCTCAATTTATACACAGGCTATTTTTGATAAGGCTGAAAGCAGAAGGGTTATTATGTTTGTGTGCCCCAAGCATCAGGTTTCCATGCACTACTACAGTACTGTCGTAATGACATCATTGACTGTACACATATATTTCTTACAATCTAAATTGCTTATCATGCAATATTTTATCTGATGACCTCACGTAACTCATTGCCTGAGTTTTGCCTCTCTCTTTTTGCAGAAAGTGTGAACCTTCGTCAAGCTCACGTCAGGATGATGTTGCACAGAAAGGTACTAGAGCAGAGAGAATGATCTCACCTGAGTGTTACATTTAGCCCACTGGCTCTGCATTTGTGAAGGCCCTGACAGCCACAAGCGAACGAAGGCAAAAACAAGGTAAAGATGTTTAGACCGTCTGAGACAGGCAGGCGGCGTGCAAATGGGCAGCTGCCTGGTCGTGTTAGAGGGGTGGAAGTGGCCAGAGGCAGGGCGGGATATGGCTTCACCCTCTCAGGCCAGTCCCCCTGCGTGCTGAGCTGCGTTCTGAAGGGTAGCCCAGCTGACTACGTAGGCCTTCGCGCCGGCGACCAGATCCTCAGCGTCAATGACATCAATGTGTCCAAAGCATCCCACGAAGACGTGGTCAAACTGATTGGCCGCTGCTCAGGCGTGCTGCACCTGGTCATTGCTGAGGGCAAGCAGCATGGTGGTGGGGGGCAGCTGGACTCTTGCTCCAGTGACGAGGAGCTGGGCTTCCATGACCATAAAAGCCACTGGCTCCGGCCCAAGGTGGACTCCAAGACTCTGGGCATAAACCGGGCGGAGCGGGTAGTAGCTGAAATGCAGTCTGGTGGAATCTTCAACATGATTTTCGAGAGCTCCAGCCACTCTTCCAGCAGCTCAGAGAAGGCAGTGGCCTGCGCATCCCGCTCCAAACGCAGGCCACTCTCTGAACCAGACGTCTCATTCGGCGATGCTGACGCATGCAGAAATGACCCCAACCTCCTATCCGAGGAGGAGATGGCCCGAGTGCTGCACGACGACTCTGTGTTCATAGATGTGTTTGAAGCAGAGCGGCAGGATGATTTTGAGGGCATCCTCAACGTAGGCATGATCGTGGGCTACCTGGGGTCTATTGAGTTGGCGTCCACCAGCGCAAACCTGGAGAGTGACAGTCTGCAGGTAGGCGTCTGAATATTGATATGCCATTGTCATATGATGTGGATTTTACCTTATTGTGGATAGCCACACTGGGGTGGCTGGTAGCCTAGTGGTAGAAGAGGTGAGCCAGCAACTGCAAGGTTGTGGGTTCAAATCCTAGGACTACTTGGTTATTCCTAGTTGCGCCCTTGGGCAAGGCACTTGACCTGCCACTGCCTCACTCGGCGCTGGTGATGCTGTGCTGCTCCCAGTTGTAAAATGTTTCCCCCTGTAGGGTCAATAAAGTAAAGTAAACATTGTGATAAGCCTGAAAACAGTGAACAGCCAGCATATGCAAAATAAAAATAGAGCTTTTCCAGCTGAAAATTGTGTATGATTATGTAAGACTAAGAAGGAAGATGTGCTGTAATGATAAGATAAAGAAAAGGAAAAAAAGATGAAGAAAAAGAAGAAACTATGAACTGACACCCACAAGGTATTATTTTTATAATCAGGAATTAGTAATTATCAACAATACTTTTGTTAATTGCATCTGAACAATTACACAACAACTACTGAAATTAAAAATATCCACATAATTTTGTTCATAGTATTCTTTATATAATCTATTAATAATAATATATATTTTTTAATAGTAAAATGGATTTATGTTTATTTGTTTGTATACAGTAATGTTCTATTGTTACTGCATTCTCCCGTTCTTACCTGCAGGCCATCCGGGGCTGCATGCGGCGCCTGCGAGCTGAACAGAAGATTCACTCATTGGTCCTCCTCAAGGTTATGCATGACTGTGTGCGGCTATGCAACGAGCGTGGTGCCGTTCTGGCCGCCTACCCAGCCGAAAAGTTGGCCTTCAGTGCCGTGTGCCCAGACGACCGCCGCTTCTTCGGCTTGGTCACCATGCAGGCCACTGATGACCACAGCATGAGTCGGAACAGTGAGGAAGACCAGGGCTTGCGGACCTCCTGCCACGTCTTCATTGTGGATCCAGAGCTTTGTCACCACAAGATACACCAGGGGGTGGCCCACCGCTTCGGCTTCAATTGCACTCCGGATCCGGACACGGGTGGCTGTCTGGAGTTCCCCCCTACCTCCCAGCCTCTGCTGCAGTTTGTGTCCGTGCTTTACCGGGACATGGGCGAGTCTATTGAGGGGATGCGGGCACGAGCTTTCCTGGATGGAGACCTGGATGCTCAACAGAACAACAGCACCAGCAGCAACAGCGACAGTGGCATAGGCAACTTCCTGCCTGAGGAAAAGAACAACCGTGTCCTTCTGGTGGACCTGGGTGCTAACCCTGCCCGCCATGTGCCCACTGGATTATGGGAAACTCCTCAGACTGCCCGTAACCCCGGCGCTCAGGGTGGTCTCTCTCCTCCTCCACCTCCTGTATCCCACCGTAACGGCTACAGACACGAGCAGTTCCCAGAACACTCTCAGCCACACCCACACTCACATGGAGACCCGTCCTCTCTTTCAAGCAGGCACTTAAGCCACGCCTCCAGGCTGGACATGTCCGGCCTCCCGACACGCCATCATTACCCCCCCCATGGCAAGAAGTCAGCAGGGGCAGGGACAGGACAGCGCTGGCTGCCTGTTCACGTCCTGAGAGACTGGAGGCACGGCCACAGCAGTGACCAGGAGTCCTACGCCGAGTCAACTGACGGCTGGTCCAGCGCTAACTGCAGCACCCTCCCGCCCCCCATGAGTAAGATTCCGGCTGATCGGTACCGTGCTGCAGGCGAAATCGCCTCCCAGCCTCACCGGCTCCATGCACAGAAGGATGAGTGGGCCAAGAAGCTGTTTGGCACGGAGAAGAGTCTTCGGGAGCACCACCAGCTGCCCCAGCAACACAATGGGAAGAGGACGAAAGACTCAGAGAAAAAGGTGGGGTGTCTTTTTAAGCCCTTAAACTGCAGGCTTATTATTCAGTTATTAGTTTTTGAACCTCAGGCTTGTTATTTGGTTATTAACTCTTTGAACCAATTCAATTATTATTCTTGTAGTTAGATTAATTAATTTAATTAGTTAAATTAATCAGCAACTGCTTTGAAACTAATGTACTCATGAAGTAATGAGAGTGGATAGAAGCTTGTAGTTTAGGGGTTAAACTGTTGAACTTTATTCACTTAATATATTACACTGCTCACTTATAACCTCTTGCATCCATAGTACATGTACTGAAGTCAGGGATAAGAATCTCCATACTTTGAGGACGTGGGCTCAAAATATAGCAAGTGGTCAGAAATTATTAGCTGGGTGGTGACTGTGCTGTGGGAACTGCATTTGTTTTCCATTTTAGCTTGATCTTTTGGCATTGGTGGTATCTTTTGAGCATGACCCTTATTATGTTTCTAAATCCACTGCAGTAAATTGCTGCTTTATATACACATGCTGGCCGCTCAAGTCTTTGACCCTATTCTGAGATTTTGCCCATAAATAGACTTCAGGATTTTGCTACCCCAGTGAATCTTGATGTACAGTAGGCTTATGTGCATAGCTGCAGTGTAATGATCATCATACCTGTGTGCAGAGTGTTTCTACAGTGTGTCGTCACTGTTGGAGACCGCATGTTAAAACTGACCCTGAGATGAGAAGATTGAGATACAGTGCAGACTTTTAATCATCCAACTCTAAATGACCGTGTGCTCTATGTTTCTCTGACACATATTCATTTTCAGCATATGGAAAAAAGCAGAAATTTATATTTAACAGAAAATAACACAGAAGCCTCAACATCTAAATATACTTCATTTTTCTGTATTTAGTGTGTCCAACTTTTGCCTTTACTACTGCTTCCATTCTTTTTGTGAAACTTGCTTTCAGTTTTTCAAAGAAATGTGCACAGATATTCTTTCACCCTACAAAGTTCAGTCTTAGAAGTTGGTTGCTTTTTCCTGCTCTTCAACCAAGTAATCCCAAACACATTTAGGTCTGGACTTTGGGGTGGTCAGTCCATTGTTCTGACATCAGCATCTTCTTTGCAAATAATTTAATTTTGTTGTCTGTTTCCTTTTCTCAGTAGCAACGTCTTGACAGCTGTACATCCTTTAGACCCTTAGCATTAAGTGTTGAGTTGTCCTCTCACAGTAGAGGGATGGACAGAAACACCTGTGGATTTTTAAGACCTGAAGCAAGAGCTTGGAGTCCCATTTTCTCTATATGTTTTAATGTTTTTTAACTGTTTTTCCCCTTCCTTAGGCTAGTGGTTGATCTAATATCTGATCTCCTCAGAAATATCTCCTGAAAAATGAATAAATTGTATGCTGTGGCCATTTTGACAGGAAAATAAATACATGATGGGTGGTCTCTAACTTTTGAGCAATACTGTAAGCATGTGTAATAAGGTGGGCAGCGAATGTGCAGTGTTCAATTTCAGCAACACTGCTATGTTTGATACGCTCGTACCCTAACAACACACACTGACACACCACAACCCTAGAATCATGCTGTGCTGAGAATGATCCACCACCCAGATAATATCTGGCACTTGGGGTCCTGTGGTGGTCTTTTTTCACTGACGGATGGGCCAGAGCAGGGCTAGTGTTCTGATAATGACAATGAATAGGAGTGTCTTGTGGTGTTTCTGTTATTTTATACATCCCCAATGCATGCTTTGTCTTATGTGTATAGGAAGTCAGATATGTAGTTCAGACTGAAGTGTGCTAGAATTCAGAGGGCTGGACCAGTAGCTGGGATTCCCACTATGATTTAAGATGTTGTTCTAGCTTTGCTTTCCAGCCTGGTTTCAGAATACAAACTGGCATCCGCCTTTTCTCCCATTTAAGGGAGGGGAGAGATCATTTGGAGTGGATGTTTGTCCTTCTAATGAAACAAAGATGTGACTCAAATGCATGATGAACAGACGCTCAAGCGTTGCACTTTCAGACAAGCATTTTTCCATTTATGAATAAAACCTAGAATTGTAGTCATTTGTGAAGCGTGTAAATGCACTTCAGAAATTATCCTGTGCTCAGTGCGTGAACTTCACCAGCAGGCCAGCGTCTTCTGACTCGTTCAGATAAGTGAGACAGAGAGACTTCCTGCCACAGGCAAACTCACGTCCACGTTTATTGTTTAACAGCTCCATTCTTAACTTGGATAGGGCTTTACAATATGAGGAAGTGAGTGATCAGCACTCTCAAACACGTTCAGAGGACAGCGAGTAGAGCTCGTGGGTAGATTCCGAAGCTGTGAGTTGGAATGAGTTGGGGTTTAGCTTGAAGCAGTAGTCTGTCCAAAAGTTGAATTTGTTTGGTGCCTGACGTTTGATTTTTTATTTTTTTATTTTTATTTTTTGTCTTGCAATGGAGCAACAAGGCTGATGTGGCTAACAAGTAACATAAACTTATAGCCTACAAATTAGCACTATACAAACCAAAACATGACTCAAAATGTACAAGAAAATTATAGTAGCGCTTTACTTGAATGCTGCTACATACTATTGACATAACCATTCCATAAACATGACATGGTGGATGTCCTATGCTGTCATAAACTGTCATTACAGATTTTTTCCAGTAATATAACAGTGTTACTATTGCTGATGATTGTCATGACAGTTGGCACAATGTGTGTCATGACAGCTTATGTCACATGCTGATTTTGCTACTTGTGCTCTAGTTAGCCATCATAATAGCAAACAGTATGGCATCTGGCATGACATTTACTGGTAATGGTAAAATGACTCTGTTATTATTACTGAACAAAATCTGTCAAGACAACCCATGACAGGATATGACATCTGCTATGACATGTTCATGACATGGTTATGTCAATGTTATGTAGCAGTAGAGCTGGGCATTATGACGGTTTTTATTATCTGATAAATTACATCAGAATGTGTCACAATATTCTTTTATGAGCACAGTGTAAATATCCGTGCTTAAAAAATCACTTTCTAACTGCATTTTTTTGATTAAATTAGTCCTGTTTGATTGGATTTTGTGCGGTGCAGTGTGTGAAATGTTGAATATGGTAATTCTTTTCATAGTTATTGATAGAGGTTTTAAAATGTGTGCTTACTTTGTCTAAATTACGAACTGTCAGAAAAAAATTATATTGTGACACATTGTGTACTGTAAAAAATGCTAATTTATTGTGATACTACATTTTGCCATATCTCCCATGTCTATGTAGAAGGATTCAAAAAAGTTTTACCATTCATTTTTTGTACATTTGTAAGCTTGTGTGGCTGTACAGTGATACTTTGTAGACTATAAGCTTCCTTACCTGTTAGCCAGTGAAATACTACCAAATAAACAGAAATACATCATATAGCTAAAACAGTGTCAGCAGTGAATTCTGTCCATGCTTTTGTGCAGTTTTATGTCATACAGTGTCAGAAACCACATAAGCAGGTCTATTTGAGAAATGACTGTAATTAATCAATGTGTAAATCAGGTTTTTGGCCAAACCACTGGGTTAAAGTAGCCTTGAGATGAACAAATTTTGCTGTAGTCTAATGTGATTTGTTGAATTCAAGCAGTTAGCTGGTTATCCAAAAGGTCCAGCTTTGCAGTTCATCCACTGAAGTGATTTCAGTCCTCCAAGTAATTTCTTGTTGTTAGTTGATATGACAACATCAGAACAGACTGAAATAGTATGTGGATCTCTGACTTCGGGGCCAGTTGCAGAAGGGCCTTTTTAAGCTACAGCACAGAACCTTAGAACACGGTTGCTAGGGGAGACCAGCGTCAGTGAGGTCGTCTCAGAGCAGAGAGCAGGCTGGGTCATAGTCAGCGCGGTCGTCATAGAAACCACCCCATGCTGCCTTACAGAGGACCCGTGACTGATGGAGTGGAGACAGCTTTCGCGGGTGTACGAGTTTTAGTAGTTCAGAGTCAACTTGCGCACCGGCTCATAATTACATCTCATTTCAGTGACAGTGTGCTTTGAAGTGCAGGCCGGTTTTGTCCAAACCTTTTCAGTTTTCTGTCCTTTCTGTACTTTTTCTTTGTCTTCTCGCTGCATGAGATAAAAATCAGCGTGTTGTAATTTTCTCTGTCTTCAGCACTATTTAGACAGGAATAGTTTTACATGGGGAGGTGAGCTGATGTTATTTTACTATAGGACGTACATAATGTTTATGACATTTGGCAAGAAATCTCTGTGAAATTACATCTAACTGCCTGTCTTGAGTGAATGTAGGGTGCCAGTAGTTAGTGGTAGTTGTAGAGTTCAGCTTTGCTACATTAAATTTGACGTATTAAAGTGTTACGTTACCTGTTTTAATGTTAACATGAATTAGAAGTTTTTCCCCCAGAGGGAAGGTACATATTTTTAGCTTTTCCTAACCTACTGTTTTAAAATAGAACAATAGCATGTAAAATAAAAAGTCTAGACTGAAGACCGGGTGTAAAGAGTGAATGTAATTTAAATTATATAATTGCAGTTGAATATGGTACAATTATGTTCCCTGAATAAAGATACTGAAGACATACCGTTGAGGTACCACCCTTAGCACTCCAGTGACAGTTTCATACCTTATACTTCCCCACCTGTTGGTGTTCAGTGTTGTAACTGAAACTCATAGGAAAACAAGAATTTTGTCCTTTAAAGTGATTTTACATGGTGAATTAGTGTGACCAGGGACATGAAATAACAAGGTAAAAAAAGGTCAATTTGATTTTAGATTCACCTAAATATTCAGAATTGTACACAGGACAATACATATCAGCTTGATTTGGGTCACAGTTAATACAACTAATTACAATGTCTGCATAATTAATTCATTAATATGTAAACGAAGGTATTCAGAGTGGTTTGATGCAAAATGCTGCGTTCTAGAAAAAAGTTCCATGTCAACTGTTCACAGTGGAAGTAATAAGAGTAAGAGTTTAAAATGATTAATCTAAAATGTTAGATTTACCTCTATTTTATCATTA